CGGTGTCTTTATGTATGCGGCTGTATGTGTGTGTATGTGTAGGTGGGTAGTTGTGTGTGTGTGTGGGTGTGACGAAGTAGAAAAATGAAAGGTAATCATCATCATTTGATGCCAAACTGTGTATATATCGGAAGATATTTTGTGTTTTATCAAGGTTGTATGTAGTGTTCATTTACTAAAGTCAAGTGGATTTTTTAAAAATTAGAATGCATTCTTGTACATCGAAAGTGTCTCATATTAGGTAGGCTGCTTTCATATATGAAAATGATACAAAATGAAAGGGTGAAAGGTGATAACACGAAGAGAATAATAACTATTATCGATAGATATGGATTTTAGTGTAGTGAGAAGGATTATTTGTTCTATTATTATTATTCCATTTGAGTCCCTTGTAGAGCAGGAGTGTGGGAGCTTTAAAAAAACTTCTCGTTTATCATTCTGTTGTCTGCAGTCCTTTTGTGTTAGCTGGCTCTACGATTGCTTATAAGCTCTCATGTTCTCCATGTCACCCTCTGAATTATATCCAACTCGTTGTTTCCCACTCTCGTTACTCAATTGTATATTCAGTGTGTGTCTGATCCGTCTCTACTTCTTTTGGTATAATTGTTGGGCGATACTTGAATGTCAATGAGATGCTCACTGGCGACTGGCCCTATTCAGGTGGGTAGTTATTTGGGGTTCTAGTGGGAAGTCGTGACCAGTCGGGTGTGAAGACAAATACTCGCCGAAGACATTGGCTAGCGGTTGCGCCATATCGTGAATTGGCAGAAGTTAGAGTTCATGCACTGGCCATTGGATCAGGTCCCAGTGGCTTAATGGTTTACGAGCTGGCTTGCCTTGTAACCAGAAGGTCCTGGATTCGAACCCCGGTGGGTGCGTACTAATGAAGAGTCTCGAATTGGGCTGTCGAAACAGCTTTCCAATACTCCCAGGTTTTCCAATAGTTCTCTTACTGATGTCAACTCATGATGAAATCCTGTAACCAATCAACCAAATCCCTACAAACCAATACTTGGATATCTTTTTGTCAATTTGTTAATTGTTTTCTGGTCATCTGATCTTCAGTATCGAGCTAGGAAGCCGAACAGACGTTGATGAAAGTCTGTGGAGTCGTAGAACGGTTTTTGGTGACGTATCAATTCTCTGAACTGTATGCATTCAGTGGTTTGACATTAGTCTGCAACAGATTTCCACACTGATTTCAAAGTAATAAAGGTCTATGTCTCTTTCTCGACCTTGCCTTTGATGTCGCCTGCAGTTGAAACGATGCTGCTTAGATATATTAAGTGAAAGAAGTGATTTCCTCCAAATATCTTCTGTTGATAATGATCAATGCTTGTTGTTGTCTCGTCTTTACTGCTTTTTCTACCAACTTTTTAGTTTTCACCTGTAGATCTTTGAGTTCGTGCAGTGGTGTACATGAATCTTCTACAAAGTCCATATCTTCTAGTCTCCTCATCCCCTCCCTCCATGGTCTACCGTTTGATCCTGTCCACCACACTCAAGAATGTCATCGGTGATACTAGACAGTCTTGTCTTACTCCTTTCTTCACTTCAAACGCCTCACTGAGTTCGTTGTTGTGAATCACTTGACATGTGGCATTTCTGATATAGCAGAGAGAAAAGGAGACGGAGGGAATAATTCCGTGAAAAACAGTGAATTAGCAGAAGTTAGAATTCATGGGCCATTGGATCGTGTCCCAGTGGCTTATAATGGTCTATGAGCTCGCCTTGTAACCAGAAAGTCCTGGGTTCGAACCCCTGTTTGGTGCACACTGATGAAGAGTCCCAAACCAGGACGAAACAGCTTTCTAGTACTCCCTGCAGCTTTTCCAATGGTTCTCTAGCCAATGCCAGCTCATGATGAAATCCTGTAACCAATCAATCAAATCCCTACAAATCAATACTTGAATAGTGATATTCATAATTTGGAGAGATGATGATCATGATGATCTGTGTGTGAAGTTGATTTCACTTAGGACTACTGATTCTTAACATTGCATGGGCTTTTTAGCCAGTCAACATAAACTTGGAGACACTGTTCTGACTGAGAATCAATGTCTTCACATTTGGGCTGCAGACAGAGGTTGGGAGTGGAGGGTTCAGACTGCCTTCTTGACTAGACTCTAAGACCCAATGTCTGAAGACTGTTGATGATATGGCTCAAAATAATTCCCTGATGGCACAGATTCATTCACTGTTTGTGATCTCCGAGATCCATTAAATCCTCGTTATTTTCTTCATATGATTATTGTTTTTGTCGGACATTTCTGTTTATATTTCGGTGTCCAGGTATTCCTTTTTTCTCTACTTCTATCTGTTAAAAAAGCTGTCACCTGATGGTTAGTGTGATAGCACCTGGCTGACCAAACTTCTTTCAGTAGGTGGAGCTAGATTTAAACCGTTGACCTGCTAGTTGGAAGTTGATCGCCTAAACCAATAAGTCGACACCCACACCTACTTCTCTCTGTGCTTTTATGAAATTTGGCAATTTGAACTGTCGCTGCATGTTTGTGTAGAGTTTTGTGTTGAAAATTCATTATAGCAGTCAGTTTCTTTAGTCATTGATACCATGTCTTCATATGGTTATGTATACAATTCTCTCTAGCTATCTGATCTTAAGTATGGAATGAAGGAGACAGTCGTCGCTGACAGTCTCCAGCAGGCTGTTCAAAGTGCTTTTCGTGACACGCCAAGTTCCTCCCTCATATAGAGAATAATCGACTTTGGTGTTTAAAATTCGAATTTTGTTCATTATGTTGAGTCAATGCAGAAAATCTTCACACTGATTTCAAGTTGATAAAGGTCTGTTTCGCTTTTCCTTTCCTGGTTCTGACTGACATCCTCATGTGTGCGCAGCCGTCTGTAGTTGAAACGACACTGCTGATATTCACAGTCATAAATCATTCTAACTTACTTAAAAGTATAAATTTGAATATATTGAACCTAAAATCACAAAATAGCGCGTCAGGGGCACAGCGGTTAGGACTCTTGCCGACCATGCATATGGTCAGGGGTTCGATTCCCATCTGAAGCATTCCTTTACCTCGCTAAGTCAGTAATAATGCTGGTAAAGAGGGAAGGTTGGGCATGAGGTTAGCTATCCTATCCTATAAAAACAAACACTGCTACAGAAACTTCAAGCCTCTAGCTTGAAGCCCTATGTTTCATTGGGAACGTGAAGGGAAAAAATATCACAAAATACAAAATAACTCCCATGCTGTTTGAGTACAAATGTAGATGAAATGGACACAAAGTGAATCGACATGAGAAATATCTGTCCCACAACTGTTAGATATTATATTATCTAAACTATTAATAAAGGTATATTAGTATAAAAGTTCTTTCTCATTAGTAATTAAGAGCACTTTAGCATGCTCATGCTCACTACTCCCACTTATCTCAGTTTTTTTCAAAATTTCAACTTGTCTATTTGAAAGATAAACAGGATTGTGGAACTCCCCTTTAATCTGTAATATAAGTGGAAGTATTGAGTACATTCTACTAGGTGACATCCTTCAGACTTCTCTCGTTGATGGTGACTGGTGCTTGCTTTTGTTGGTTGGTTGCTTGGTTGGCTAATTTCGCCACCTTTATCTTCCCTAGGTTCACTTAAGTCCTGTCATCTCTTCTTCTTGTGGTAATCTGTGTATTTTCACTTGAAGATCTTCGAATTTGTGTGGCACTACACTTAAATCATCAATCAATACATAAATCAAAGTCAGCCAACTAAAAATGACCCTATTTTTTCTTCACTCTTTCACTTTGCCAGTGGAATAGAGGGTTTCAAACTTGAACTTTGTTTTGATGTCCCAGTCGGTTACCATACCACGTTGAAAGCACCGGTTCTCATCCGATCACCGAAGTTAAGCAACGTTGGGCCCGGTTAGTACTTGCATGGGTGACCAGCTGGAAATACCGGGTGTTGCCGGCTTTTTTGTGCGTCGGTGGCACAGTGGTTAGGACTCTCGCCGACCATGCACATGGTCCGGGGTTCGATCCCCTGCCGACGTACACCTCGATATCTATAGTCGGCCTGCAAAATTTGGGCTACCGATATCACATGCTGTACCAAAAATTACAGTGTGGAATCAAGCTGTCATTGAAAATATAAATAAATAAAAATAACAGTGGTCTTACTCTTAAGGGATAGAGTTGGTACCACCCTCGTGTCTTTCTTTTCCGTGCTTACTACCGGTTTAGCAAGGTTTAGGAATGTGCCGGACTGTAGTCGAACCCCAGATCAAGTGTACGTTGTTGGCGAACATTCCACCACTGAATAACCGATGCGCATGGTTATTCTTAACTTTTATATACTCTAAGCCAATAGTATTCACGTATTGGTTTGTAGGGATTTGGTTGATTGGTTGCAGGATTTCACCATGAGCTGACATTGGTTGGAAGACCTGTGACGAGCACAAAACAGCTGTTTCGTCCTACTTTGGGTTCGGGGTTCGAACTCAGGGCCTCCTGATTACAAGGCCAGCTCGTAGACCATTAAGCCACTGGGATCCGATCCAATGGCTCATGAATTCTAACTTCTGCTAATTCACTGTCTCTCACAGAATTATTCCCTTTCTCTCTGGTCACGACTTCCCACTAGAACCCCAGGTAACTACCTACCTGAATAGGGCCAGTCGCTAGTGTGCATCTTATTGATATTCAAATATTGGTTTTTAGGGATTTGGTTGATGAAATTGATAATGAATTCAGGATCTGATTCGTTTGATGATGAAATCCTGGGTGCGTACTGATGAAGAGTCCCAAACTAGGACGAAACAGTTGTCCAGTACTCCTTGCAGGTTTTCCAATGGTTCTCTAACCAATGTCAGCTCATGATGAAATCCTGTAACCAGTATAAGCCGATGAGCTCGAGTTTCAGGTCAATAATAGCCTTTTTCTTCCACGTCTACAGTGCATTTTCTCTTAATCTGACATATATATATATATATATCCTTTCAATAACTTTTATGTGTTTATGCAATCCCCATTGTCTTTAGGATCCGAATCACACTGCTCCAGTGTATAATGTACCTGGTACAAATTTCAAGTTAATTACAACAGATAGTCTACCTGTCAGAGAGAAAATGTTGAATGATTTTGTTAAACGTTGTAAAGGCATCATTGAAGTTGGCTTACAATGGGCACCGAATTTAGTCCGTTCACATTTAATCAATTATATGCTAGAATTACAACATCCTGCAACTGACCTGCCTCAGCATACTGGTTTAGCTTTGGCTACTGAATCAGTTTTAAACTATGCTGGCTATAATCGTGCAGCATCATTTCTCGGGGTAATTCACACTTATTTTAATTCTCCAATCACTTTTTGTTCCTTTAATGTTGTAAATTGTATTTAAAAGTTATGAAGGGAGTTTTAATTTGAAACATTATGAACCATGCATTGTCAGCTCGTCATTGCTGAGTAGTTTCGCATATGACCTTGTTTTAGACGACCGCGGAGACTGAAAGCGATACGAACCTAATGCAATAATCAAAAGCTACTCTAATGACCAGTCACAGGATGAAATAACGATAACACTTGCACCCAAAAAATTCAAGAAAATGGATCGCAGACAAAAGATATCGTATTGTCTGAAACGACCTCCAAAACTTTTGATAAAATCGCTGAATATGTATCGCGGAGAAGTTGAAGTATCATGGCCACAGTTGACGTCTTTCAAGGTTGCTCCTGAAGGACCAATCAGATTCATTGGACGCTTCGAAGGTCATACCAGACAGAAATTATGCCTGCGCTCATAGATTTGGTTAGCGAATTCCGCGGAGATGGAGCATTCAACTGCTGTGTTAATAATGCATCAGCTGGAGTGGCTACAAGTTGTGTTTGTGGAAATATTATGACGCCAAAGCAATACAACCTTGTTGGAGATAAGCACTGTTGTAGATGTAGTTCATGTCATAAGAGAAAATCTCTTCATGAGGGTACTTTTTCCTCGAAGTCTAAGCTATCTTTGATGGGTATCCTACGCCTTATGTAGTGTTGGATTTCACAAAGAGCTGTAAGATCAGCGGTGGCTAATACAGAAAATAGTCTATTCTCTACAGTGCAATGGTATTAGCACTGTAAAGATGTAGCGTCATGGAAGTAGCAGGAGAATACTGGCTCCTGGGCAACACCACCAACAGCAACAACAACAATCAGCATAAATGGAAGGAACCTGAAAGAAACAACCTCATTTACCTACCTGGGAAGCATCGTTTCAACTACAAGCGGACAGAGCTGATGACGATATCAAAGCAAGAATCGGAAAAGCAAGACAAGCTTTCACTACTCTCAAGTCTGTGTGGAGGTCAACAGCACTCAGCATAAAAAATAAGATCCGGATTTTCAACTCCAATGTGAAGTCAGTGCTACTCACTACACGGATCAGAGACTTGCACTGCGCGTCATAAAGAGCATCTCAAACAAACTACAGACATTCATTAACAGATGTCTTCGCTCAATACTCAAGATCAGATGGCCGGTCAGAAAAGATCAGCAACAGAGATCTCTGGCAATGAGCGAACCAACCCAGCAGGAACCGATTGTGAAACAAATAGGCAGGAAGAAATGGAGATGGATTGGCTGGTCGTACTCTGAGGAAACCATCAAGTGACAACACTAGACAAGCCATTGCTCGAGTGGAACCCAGCCGAAAGGGAAGCGGCGAGTTGGTCGTCAGTGCAAGGGTGTGGAGACTTGGAGGAGGTCATGTGAAGAGGAGATGAAAACGTGTGGGCAAACTTGGAGCCAGGTGAAGGTTCTAGCAGAGAAGCGAACGCAATGGAGACGCACGGCTGAAGCCCTATGTTCCTCTAGGAATTAAAGGAAACAATAATAATACTGGCTCTCTTGGAGGAGTAAGAGTGATCGTTCACATAGACGAAACTGTGCTCATTAGGAAGAAGTATAACAGGGGAAGGAGAAGGGTAAATCAATTGTGGATGCGTGGAATCTACGACACTTCACTTCGCAAAGGTTTGGTTGAAACAATACGAACATTAATTCCAACCATTCAGCGCTTGGTATTGCCACGAACAACCATACATACTGATGGTGAATGCAGGGGACATAACCAACTGCCATCTTTGGGTTATATTCACTATCGTGTCAACCATTCCTTTGACCTAGTGGATCCAGTCACGTGCACACATAATAACTCTATCAAAGAATTCTGTGGGAGATTGAAGAAAAGAATCATAAATGTCAATGGATCGCAAAATACCATGGTTTTAGCCACATCGATGAATACATGCACCGGGTATGGTATGGTATGGTTTCTCTGGTGATTATCCTTGCACAAACTGGGAGATGTTTTTGCAACATATTAAAGACCATTATCCAGTTTAATAACATGTTTGTAACGTTTTTAATACATTTTCTTAAAACGATTTTGACGGTTTTTTAGCATCTGAATTCTGACTGGTTGTTCAGGGTCACTTCTCATACTGTAGAAGTTGGAATACCTCAAACAGATTGAGGACTAGTGTTGTGTGATCACAGAGCTTTAGTGTCACCTGTTTCAGGTTGGTCACACACACACAAACACCACGGCTTGTTTAGAGTTATTTTCATAATTTTATCCATATGAAGCCCTTCGCAGTGGCTACACAGGGTAAGTTTGGATCTAAAGCTTTTGGGGTTGATGTGTTTATTTCAACCCTACCTCACTCCTCAAAGCGTAGCAGCAGCATAGTTAATTTGTCGGTTGTTGGAGTGAAATACTTTGCTACTGCTGCATCTTTATTCTGCAACAGTACAATTTCTCCTTCAGGCCCTGAATGTAGTGTCAACGACTTGTACTATCATGGTAACTGGTTTTAGTTTAACCGCTATTCAGGCAATTTTTCTGACATGCTAAGATGTTCAGAAACATATAATCCAGCTAATGTAGCTTGTTGGTTCATTTGAATTTATACAAGTCGAATTATAATTTCTTGGTAGTAACTGTCGGTTGGGACTAACCAATAGGTCTATTTATATCCCACTATTGATTATTAACCCAGCCTTAGATATCTATTTCTCAGTGTTTAGATATAAAACGTTATATTTTGTGAATTCGATCAAGTTAAGAATCTGAGAGACTATCGTTCTGTTTCACTAGTTGATAAAGCTGCGAAGAACGTCAAAGTTGACATCTTTTAATATTTGATCAGGTTAAATAGACCACTGCTGTTGAATAATATATTACATGACCAGTACTCATTTTTGAGTGATTTTGGGGTTATCGATCCTACCTGAGAAATATCGCTGTAGACCTCATATGTCACTATACACTTGAAGTATGTAGATGAAGGCGGTTATTGAGAAGGCCAATGTTGTGATTTACCAAGTGTCAACACAGAGTAACTCCATTTCTCTCCGGAGTTAGTTTTGACAATAACGTCTGTGGTGGTGGTGGTTAGCAATGGAGTCCGAGATGCACATTTCCTAATATCCGGCACTCATCATCTGGGTATAAGTGCTCCTTGGGACTCGAACCCATCACCGACCACTTTAACCGCCGAGACACTGTCTCATGTGTCAACTGGAACAGTATCACTCATTGGGGGGACCGTTACACATAAGTGAATAGTCCCAAGTATAACGCAACGCGCATCCTTGGTTCTGCTGCTTTATCTCTCCCTCCTCTCGCTCACTGAATTTGTGACTTCGAGTTACTAATCATGGAGATATCAAGGCATCCGTTTATGGAAGCCATATGTACTGATCGATTTAGTGTGAAAATATAAACGCAAAAGTATGAAGAAATGATATTCTATGCATGTAATTGTTTCATTTTTTTAACGAAAAAGTGTATCATGTGAATCACATAGACACTCACTTCTGTTTACTCTGCCTGATATCTTCATAATAGACTAATGCTCTTGAGAAACGGCCCACGTGTGCAAAGTTGGATTCTTCGAATTTCATGTATAACTTGATATTACGCAATCGATTCTTGGGTGAAGTAAGCATATTGTTTTGTGTGTTTTTTCGTTGTGTTGGTTTTTTTTATCAATGTTGGGCTTTTTTTCTTTGTATGGAGGGTGACAAACATTCTTAGTATCTTAACAAAATGTTTATTTATTGGTCTTTGAATGTGCTGTTGAAGTGATTACTTGAGTAATACAATCCTGGATCATGCAACAGACTGTAGGAAGGGGGCGAGAAGAGAACAGGTGTACATTCGACCTACAAGGGGACACTGAAAGATCTGAATTTCGTGGATGGTTTATGCCTAATGTCACGCAATCTCGAGGATTTACAGGTGAAAGCCAATAAGTTGTCAGAACAAGCAGCAAAAAGAGGAATTCATGCGAACATGAAGAAGACAGTGTTCATGAAGATGCTGAACCACCACTAACAGCAACAGCAAGCACCAGTGATTGCCACTACTTATCCAGGTAGCAGCGTTTCAACTGCAGACGGCAAAGATGAGGATGTCTAATCCAAGATCGCAAAGTCACAGTACACCTTCATTGATCTGAAATCAGCTTGATTGGGTCACTGAAAGAGTGTTTTACTAAAGTTTAGCTATAACATTCAATATATTTGTTGAATATGGGTCAATTAATCCTTTACTATGAATAGCTGTAGAATACCGATTTTAGTTTATAGAATGATAGCAAATTTTACTTGTTGACGACTGTAAAATCAGACTGAATAACTTTTACAGAACCACTTATAAACTCTTATCTGAAGTAGTGACAACCAGCGGTGTCCGTCGTGGATTTTCTAACGGATATATGATTATGATCGACTTTAGAGACTCAAGGATTGACTTTTCACTGAGGAATAGTCTCTTTGACTTTGATTATAATAATAATAATAATAATTTGCTTTATTCCAGACACAGTACTAGTGGTACAGTGTGGAATTTTCAGCATATATCTACAATATTTACATCTAATTTTACAAACATTCAAAAGGACTATTAAACAAACAAACAAAAAATCTAAAGACACCAACAGCAAAAAAATAAGATGAACACAAAATAATTATAAATGCGAAAAGTACCAAGAAGTAGAAAGGAAAATAAACATCATATAATAATATCTCAGTATTGGGTAGTGGAAGCTATGATATGATTATGCATGGTGACAGTAAAGCTATAGTCATACCAGAAGTTATGAAATGATATTTAAGAATGTTTATCGCCAAGAGAATCAGTTAATTTGGTTGAAACAAACACTAAACAATCATAAAATAACGTTTCAGGGTTGTTGTTTTGTTTTTTATTGTCAGATCTAATGTGGTGTTTGTAGTGGTAGTGTGAGTAATCCTGAATAATACAAATATTTTTAAGGTGGTGACTATGGCGTTCACAACCAATAATTGTCAGTTTAATATCGCCGAAAAGTATAGAAAATAAGAAAAAACAACCACAAAACTAATAATTACATGATGGTTAATGACAGGACAATTTGGTAATACTCATAGTGCTAATATAGTCGGAACCAGTAGATACACAAAAGAAGGAATATAGTAAAGCACAAAAAAGGAAGCCAATGTTAATAATTTAGGTAGCTAAGTATGTTTAAGAAGGAGTTCACCATAGAATACAAAATAAGTGAGAAATAAAAGAGCCTAAAATTATGTTGTTAATAACAAAGCAAGTCATAGGTTTCACGCTTAACATTGTCTCTGTCGCTTAGAACACGGGCCAAGTATGGTAATGTTGAGTTCCTGTACTTGGTTGTACGAGCATAGATTATTTTATACTGATTTCTGGTTTTACTTGATGAGATACAAGGCGAGAGTTGGGAATAGAGGGGCTGTTGGGGGTCGGAGAGTATGTTTTTAGACCATTTTTCGCATGTATTCAGATGCCTTTCTACTAATGTAGTGACGAGCTGACTGAGTTTTACACCACTAGTCCTACTAACTGCCTTCAACATCCTTCTCAGGATGGTATAGTCCTTTTTCAGTAGACCAGGAAAGACTAACGGGGAGCAATAAAGTAGAATAGGTAAGATACAAGAGTTGACAAATTGTGAAAGTAGTGGTTGGGTGATTCCAGACTGTCTAAGTTTCTTAATGTAGTAGGTAAGACAGAACACTTTCTTAGAAATTGTGAGGATATGAGATGCCCAAGTAAGGTCGGAGGATAGAACTAGACCGAGGTATTTTGCATTAGACTTAGTTTCAGTTTTAGTCCCCTCAGTGCAACAGTCTTCATGAGAACTTACTAGTGTTTGTAGATCTCGTTTTACGGGTGATATTGCTTTTTAGGCGAATTGGTTGACAAAATACAGGGTCTTCTGAACACTGAGTAAAAATCTTGGCATGGTTGGTGTGCGATACGCCACAATCACATTTAAGATAATACTGTAGGCCTAGTGTACAGCAGCTCCCAGTTTAAAGATAGGAAGTTAGATAGATGGTGACGTGTGCCGACCACTTCTTCACTTATTTGGGAAGTCGCATTGGACTTAATCGAATGATTTTTGACGAAATCTCAGCATGGATGTAAAAGACTCGTGTGACATTTGCTATCTTATGACATCGCTGGCGTAGATATGACATCCAGCTATCAATCAAGGGATGTTTATAGTGTAAAACAGTTCGCTTTTTTCCCTTAGATTGTGAGACGTGACCTTTGGAAGGGGAAGACTTGGGAAGCCACCGCCTACTTCGACGAGCAATATTAGCCAACATAGAATTGAGGTAGAAAAGAGTTATGAGTGACCAAATCAAAACCTGACATATCAACCCCAAAGAGTCTTTGACGATTAGTTAGAGCTACATAGTGTGATATGTAGACTGCGTGGATTCCTACTTCAATGTAAAGTAAGCTTTTGGAATTCTCCGTAACTCATACAGTTATCTCTCCTGATGACCCTAACTGTGATTGGTTGGCGCCTGAGGACAATTGAGAAAAAAACAACCGCACCAGAAGGATATACGTGTATTCAAGTGTTGGTTTGCCGGGATTGGATTGATTACTAGATTTCATTATGAGCTGACGTCGGTTAGAGAATCACTGGAAAACCAGCAGGGAGTACTGGACTGCTGTTTCTTCATGGTTTGGAACCCTTCAGCGGTACGCATTCACCGGGGTGAGAACCCAGAACCTTCCGGTTACAAGACCAGCGAGCTCGTAGGCCATTTAGATACTAGGACACAATCCGATGGCTCATGAATTTCAACTTCTGCTAATTTTACGATATAGTGTGATCATTAGGCGTAGGTTAAATTTTATCAGGTGTACTTCAATGGTGTGTTAGAACTACGGTGTTTTATCAAACGTTGAGACATCATACAGCGTGAGTCTGGGGTGTATTGGGTTTATTTTGTTACTGTCTTCATATATTTGTTTAACTGCCGTTATCACTATTCATACTTTTACGTCTGCTTTGTATAGGCATCTGGAATGCTACGATGTTCTGATGATCCAATGAAGCTTATCAATAAAATGACCAAAGATTTAGATGCTGCATGCATTAATGGTAAGTGAGATTTTGGCGTAATTCGTTATTGCTCTTCGTTGTCCTTTTCGTAGTTTGCTTAGCTGGTAGTTTCCTCCTCGCATTGATTTTTGTTTTCCAGTAAATTACTGAGTTTTTTTATGGCAACTGGTTCATTGATTTAAGTAACTAGGCTTTTAGAGTAACAGGTAGAAATCAGGTTCGAGTTCTCCTTTACATACTTCAGCCTAGGTCACTGGATAGTAGTAGTAGTCGTATACTAAGAGACATTCATCAGCGGAGGGGCGGACTGGTCAAGGGAAAAAGCCCAGCAGGCGAAAGTCCCCGCGTCGTAGGGTAGCAGGATGAATGCCTGTAAATGGTGACCATGTGACAGCCCAGTGGGCGCATGGAAACTGCCTCCTTAGTCGACATGGACAACTCGCCCTTCGTCAGGTCATCCATATCGGTGGTGTGGTTAGCGTGAACGCCTGATCAACATTAGCACCCATACGCCAGAACTCCCGGTCCCGCAAAATTCCGCACCCTGGTCTTCAAGTAGCCACCACGCCACCAAGCCTATTCATGTCTCTTAATATACTACTGATAAATGTTTTCAGTAGCACACACCACAGTACTATCAGAAGCTGTCATATCATAAGTTTGACTCTACCGGGTTCATGAAACATCTTTTTTGGGTAGCTGAATTCTTAGGATTGTTCATCTATATATATATATATATATATATATATATATATATATATATATATATATATATATTGGAACCAGACAAAGTGCAGTTAAAATCGAATGTTAGTCAAAAGTACTTAAAATTCCTATATACTATACATGCCCATCTGTTTTTTATATGTAGAGAAGCCACATTAACCTAAATGGAAGCACATTTACTCCTTATTAGGTTACTTTGTTTGTTCCTTATAACTTTTTAGTTTCATTGATTTTGTTTCTTCCCCATGACGTCTTTTTATTGATTTATCCAGGTAAAATATTGGTAGCAATGACGTCATTACTCGTGTCCCTTTAGAGTTCCTAAATTTTGTATGTCTGGACATTCTGAATTGTCTCCACTTTGTTGGTACTTATCCACTGCATAGTTCAATTTCCTAGAATTGTATGACAAATGAGTTGCGCCAACTCTTATAGTCTGGATCAGATATCTTTTCTGAGATTATCAAGGCTTTAGAAGTCACTAGATTCCTAGTTTCAACTGTTTTGTTAGTTGCGGTAGAAAACAACCCTTTCATCAGATGTTTTTTAGAGCCTTAAGTTTGATATGTTTCGTCTAGAAAAGAGGTTTTCTTCGCTTAAATGAAGTGGAACTGTATGGCATTTTGATCTAGCCATGGATTCGAACTTCGCTCCTTCTATCAGGTTCTCAGCAGCTCAGGTGGTATCATAATGCGTGGTGGTGGTTCTGTGGTTCAATACTCACGAACAACGCACGGGATATGGGGTTTGATTCCCTGCCGACGCACCTATAAACTTCTCCTAGTCAGCAGTCAGCTCCATAATTAGGGAAGGTTGGACGTGATCGTAACAACCCCGATTTGGGAAGGAAAGCACCAGTGCTACTGACCCTTCAAAGCTCATAGCTTGAAGCCCTATAGTCCACTCGGAAATGCAAAGGAAGTATTATATTAGCCATCGGACAATAGGGTGCGGCTTTCTGTCAACTGTTCTTGTGCATGCTGGTAATTATTGAGTGACCGTTAGTTTAAACATGTGATAACATTTTTGGTAACTCTAAACTATAGCAACACAAAAGGAAACTACCTAATAAACGGACGTAATAACCTTGGGCAATCAGTGCGATGAGCCCGTAATATATAGGCAGAATTATGGGCGCCATACACGAATCGCGTAATAGATTTTTTCCCAATCTAGTATTTTAATACTGTTTACATAACAGGCTTATAGGATAGGTAAGAATATGTAGATGTGGGTTAGTAATGCATTTTTAAAGATATACAACCCCTATTGATGGGTTTGTGTACAGATGATGATGCCCAGAGTTGCGTAGCAGCAAATCCTTTCGGTTTTGTTAATCCCCTTTCAACGGGACTCACACAAATTCGATGGAAAGTTTTTGGAGTCACTTAACAAAGGTGGAGTAGATCAGTGAATGGGTCAAGAAACGTGATGATCTACCGATATCTAGACGAATTTATATATTGAAATTGTCTATAGTTTGGTTTGTAAGGGTTTGTTATGTTTTTACTAGTTGATCACGGATTGATATCAGTTAGAGAACCATTGAAAACCAGGGAGTACTGGACAGCTGCTGTTTCATCCTAGTTTGGGAATCGTCGGCAGTACGCGCTCACTGGGATTCGAACCCCAGGACCTTCCAGTTACAAGACAAGCTCGTATACCATTCAGCCACTGGGACCCGATTCAATGGCCAATTCCTGAATTCTAACTTCTACCAATTCGTGATTTAGCGCGACCCCAACCATTGTCGTTGGTGGGACATCCATCCACACACGTGACATCTGATTGGACCTCACTGGTCACGACTTCTCACTAGAACTCCAGGAAACTCCATCCTGTAGCAAGTCGCTAGTGATTGGAGTTCTAGTGAGAAGTCATGACCAGTGAGGTCCAATCAGATGTCACGTGTGTGGATGGATGTCCCACCAACGACAATGGTTGGGGTCGCGCTAAATCACGAATTGGTAGAAGTTAGAATTCAGGAATTGGCCATTGAATCGGGTCCCAGTGGCTGAATGGTATATTGAAATTGGTCTAGCCAATGAAAAGTTAAGAGGCTCTCTTGCAACACCTCCAGGAACGTTACTCTATGTAACTGTTTTTAACATTGCACTACTTTTCTACAAACATTTGTTTTAAACTACGTGCTTATACTTCGGGCTCATGTCATTATTGGTCGATAGAGATTTCCCAAGGTCTCTTTATTAGATTGGTTCATTTTGGATCGCTATAGTTTAGAGTAACCATTTATTTATTTTTCTTGTACAAAAAAGAAACACTTACCCCATTTCGCACCTAATAATAATAATAATAATAATCACATTTATCAATTTTTAGCTTCACGTTTATCTAAGCAATTATCTAATCTAGAAGAATCACAGCCGAAACAAATGAAACCGAATTTCAACAATGAACCACAAACTGCATCACTTGACCCTATTACCGAACAAATTAAACGATTACAAAGTCAAAAGTCAGTTGCATTAGATATTGTACAAGCATGCTTATTCCGTATGACTGCATTATTAGTCATGCATAAGTCATACAATGATCCAATTGTGAATAGAATCAATTTTCTACAACAAGACAATGAAGCTTGTGATAATGACGACGAGGATAGAGGAGGCGATGATGGTGAAATCGATCAGGATGGCGGTGGTGGTGGTTATGATGACGATGAAGATGATGATGATGATATGGATGAAGACGATGATGATGATGCTGGCGTCGGAGATGACGACGATGAAGATACATCATCGGAGAGGCGGAAACATTCTCGTCGTCGGCATAATTTTCATCGTCGTCTACAATACGGTGGTTCAGTGATGAAACGATTACTGCGTAAACCGAAAACCTCCGTCGCTCGTTTCACTATTCCAAATATTTCAGGCACTAATCCTTCTACTGGTTATACTACCACCACTACTGCTACTGCGACGACAATTATGACGATGACTTCTAGCAGTGTTACTACGACGACTACCACTACTACTGGAAATGTACCGTCAGCGGCGGCACCAGTGGTAACAGCTTCGCGTGCACGTGTCTCGTCATATCAACATCATGTCAACAGCAACGATGCACAGAGTTTCATAAATTTCAGAAAATCCTATATGATGAATGGTGATGCAGCAAGACGTCTGTTACAAGAAATATGTCATTCACCGCTTCGATTGTTCACTACAGAAATGTTAGAAAATGCTTTAGCCTGTTGGCAATGGTTAGTTGTCGGTCGACCGCAGTTAATTATACAGGTAATTTTATTTTTTAAAGTTTTGTGTTTTTATTTTTGCATCTGATATGTACTACATAGTGATGTGGTTGTGTTCTTTGAGCTAGCTGGATAGTTTATTTACGAAGCTTTCATTGTCCGACTTACTAGACAACATCTTCAGCGCATACTTCAATTTAAATTGAAGTGAGCTTTTAGATTTCTCCACAGGTTTATTAATCATCTCTCCCAGTGACCTTGTACATGATTGGTTGTTTTTGTGTGTTTTCACACCCTTTAGACTACTTGTATTGGAACTGATTGTTTCCTTGACTTGAACTTTGACCCTTTGTGTGTGAGGTTTCCTTCTTATCGGTTGGTAAATTTTGTCTATCTCGATGTGCCTATTGATTGACAATTCACTGGAATACCAGGTGGGCTTCTAAAAATTCTCTGGCATTCCTAGTATTTCCGCTGTCTAATATTTCAACATTGATTGTCCCAGTCCAATTGATGTCCGTGGTTGTCTGTATGTAGTGAAATGAGGGAGTTCAAGTCAAGGAAACAAATCAGGTTCAATACTATTAGCCTAGAGCATGTGAAAACACACAAAAACAACCAATCACGTTCAAGGTCACCTACCGGGGGACATGACTAATAAACTCGTGAAGTAATCTAATAGCTCACTTCAATAAATTGAAGTATGCACTGAAGATGTTGCCTAGTAAGTCGGGCAATGACAGCTTCGCAAATAAACTATCCAGCTCAGAGAACACAACCACATCAAAATCATCCACCTGAGCTACAAATCTTCTAAATTATAACTACAGAGTGAGTATAACTACTTAACAGACTGACTGACTTTCGACATAGAACTTAGCACAAAAGTGCAGCACTTCAAGTTGTCACATTCCATGTAGCACACAAAGGTAGAGAGAACAGTGATAATAAGGGGACTTAAAAGAACTAATAGTAATAAGCAGAAATGTACAGGATAATGAATAGTAACAAGGGAAAGAATGACTATATAGCAACTATAGGAAGTCACAAGGAGTGAATGAATCTGCGCCAATGAGAACGATTTTCAGCCATCCATTAGTTGTTAGCATCTTGAGGACAGACAGCTTACACTTCCCTACGGGGCTCAAACTAACCTTCAAAAACTTCATGGACTGATATCAGACTGATTCACGAAATGGTCAATCTGAAGTTCTACCTGAATTTCTGATAGGATGTCATGATCAGTCGTATCCACAAAGCTGAGTGTGAGGAAAGGTGCTAACCAACGACATTAGCTGGTGGTCACACATGATTTGTCAGAAGTTACAATTCATTGACTATTATTGGATTCGGTCCCAGTGATTGTATGGTATACTACTAGCTCACTGTGTAATCTGAAAGTCCTAAACTCGACCCTTCATGGTGGTTTCATGGTTACACGTTCCACTGAAGAGTATCAATCGAGAGTGAGACGGATGCCAAGTATTCCTTGTTGGCTTTCAGCGATTCTCTAACTGGAGTTGATTCGTTATCACATTTGACATATCTATTACTAGAACAAACGCTCCGATAATGTCGGAGGTGTTGACTTGATGTAATTCGATAGGCATTGACTAACGGTGGGATTCAGGTAACCGACTTCATCTTAGTTGGCTTATATTACTCAGGGAAAAGCTCTGTAGGTTAAAGGACACTGTTGACCCAATTAGATAAAATAATAGAATTTACAAAATACCTTGCAGTGACTGTGAGTTAAGTCAACTACATAGGTCAAACTAGTAAATTGGGAGTAGTCAGATTGGTTGGAGGATTTCATCATGAGCTGACATTTGGTTAGAAAAACACTGGAAAACCTGGGAGTACTGGACATTTGTTTCGTCCTGGTTCGCGACTCTTCATCAGTGCGCACCCACCGGAGTTCGAACCCATGACCTTCTGGATACAAGGCGAAGAGGGGTTCTAGTGGGAAACCGCGGTCAGTAAGGTACAGCAGGATGAAGGTGAGGCAGTAGCTCATCAAAGAAGACATTGCAAAGTGGTTGCACCATGTAGTGAATTGACAGAAGTTAGAATTCACGGGCCATTAGATTCTGGCCCCAGTGGCTTAATGAGTTACGAGCTCGCCTTGTAACCAAAAAATCTTGAGTTTGAACCGTGGCGGTGGGTGCGTACTGATGGAGAGTCGCAAACTAAGGACGAAACAGCTCTCTGGTAGTATTCCCTGCGGGTTATCCAGTGGTTCTCTAACTGATGTCAGCTCATGATGAAATCCTCCAACCAATCAAACAAAATCCCTACAAAACCAATACTTGAAAGTAAGTCAGATTATCAAAACATAAGAATTTAGCGAAGATTAGAATGATTGACCCCGCAAAGATAAACAACTTAGAAAAGTGCTCAGCGATTGAACTGCATGCATTAACATACAACCACACAGAGTGGTGTGGGTGGGACAGAGTCAAAATTCCAAAAAAGTAATATATGTAGGTGGAGAGAGAGAGAGAGGTTGATTACTGAATCTTTATTCATAAAGTCTACACCTAACACGCGTAACAGAAATGATTCATCACTCATGCCAGAAGTATAGAAAATATTATTACCAATCAAATCAAGAGATGAGAAATCATCAGAAGATATAAACGAAATTGGAAAGTTGTATGAGTAACTTTGTAACGACAGAAGACGAGGGCCAGGCAACAGATCGTTTATTAAGGAAATCAACACATATTTATAGCTTTTCAAGTACATTATTATAGGTTATTGTTGGCAGAAAAACACAGTCTTCTGATTGGTTGTTTCTCACTGAAAGTTATTCTGTCATCTCTTTGTGGCTGTTTCTTAAAGGTCGGATCCTTTATCTGCTAATTGTATCCACCTACTCAAAGTCTGCTGTGATTGGTTGTTGAGTCAGTCTTTGATCCCGTTTTCACATGACCAATATTAGGGACGTAAACATTGACGTAAATTACTGTCTACCAATTCGGCTAGCTGCCAGCTTTCACCACAACTTGATATGATTATGAGTAGTAGTAATAAGTTGTGCTCGAAACGTGGTCATCAGTAAATACCACTGTATAACATTGTGAGAATTTATCAAAATAAATTTTACCACAGTGCACAAGTTCTATGCTTATAACATTGGCTTTTATTAGTTAAATGTACTTGCACCAGTCAATTTTTGATGGTGTTTCAATGAACATTTCAGTCTTGTAAAGAATGAACCATAAGAAATTCATAAGCTTTAGTAAATGTTTTAAATTACTTATAGTTTTTGATGTAGTTGTGTTCTCTGAGCTGGATTAGTTAACCTGCAAAGCCTTTATTGCCTTGCTAGATAACAACCTAAGCGCATACTTCAATTTGAAGTAAGCTTTTAAATTTCTCCATCTGTTTGTACTTAGTGGATGATCACGAATATTACCGAGTTCTTCGTTCAATAGTTCATTTGAACAAATGACTAGTCTAGAGCGGTGAACCAAGCATGCAACCAAATTACGTTTGTATTGTAAAGGGGTGAAACTCAGAATGTGAGTATATTGCCCAATTGATATAGGTTTCGGATGTAATCGTCTACAGCATATTGTTCTGTGTGTTCGTCTAGTCATTAGGATATTCAGAAACGCGATGGAGTCATTTTATTCTATGGTAAAAGTGAAGGCAGGATGTGCATTACTGTATTTCTCCAATGTAGCGAAAATATTCATTGAGACATCTATAAAACACAGAATAATTGAGCAAAGAATATCCTTTTCGATAATTTCCTCTTCTGGCTCTACAATTATATACACACACCTTTATATACATAGAATATTCTAGAATAGTAGTCAATATTAGTTTTTTTTAAATAATATTGATTTGTAAAGTAAGATTACAGTGGAATTACAGTTCAAGAAAGATGCATAAATTATGATAATAATAAAGATATAGTAGCAAATAGAATATCAACTTTAATTAGGGTAATTACTACAGAAATCGAGGATCATTCGAACCTAGATGACCAAGGTAAGGATAATGTCTGAACTAACTTATTTGGGCGCACAAAAAAGGTTTCTTGATATGGATCCCAACAGCCTCAACAATATTTGGTAGTGGAACTCTAAAGGCGAAATTAAGATTTGTTGGTATGCGGCACAGTGGTTAGTTCTCTCGCCGACCATGCACATGGTCTGGGGTTCGATCCCCTGCCGACGCACACTCGATATCTATGGTCGGCCTGCAAAATTTGGGCTACCGATATCACATGCTGAAAATTCCATACCTGTACCAAAAAATACGGTGTGGAATAAAGCTGTAACCAAAAAAATGACTATGATTAATTATCCATCCTAGAATCCTTGAACGTGCATTTCCAAAAAGTCAAACTTCAAGTCAACGAAACAATCCATACCAATATCACAAGTAGACTAGGGGGTAATAAAACACACACACAAAAACAACCAATCACATTCAAGGTCACCAGGAGAGATGACTAATAAACCCGGGGAGGAATTTAAAAGCTAACTTCCAATTGAAGTATGCGCTGGGCATGTTGTCTAGAAGGCAATAAAGGCTTCACAAGTCAACTACCATCCAACACAGGGGACACAACTACACCAAAATGATCCACCTGAGCTACAAATCTTCTCCATTATATTATTTGTTGTTGTGATTTTTATATATGTATTCATCATGAATTGTATTTTGTTTTATTTTTCAATTTGTGTGTGTGTGTGTTAAGCTGTTAAATGAATTAAGTGATGCTTGGCAGACAACAATTCATCGACGTTTAGGCGTATTTGCTGTGCATAATGCAGATGATGGTGAAGTTCTACCTTTAGTTGTTTCAGATCAATTAAAATATGTTCCATCAAAGTGTAATACTGGTCCACATCATTTATGGTCACAGGTAGGTAGATGAAAATCATGATTTTGTTGTTCTTGTTCTTGTGTTGCTTTTTTTGTGTACAAAGTGGTACTTTTTCTGAAAGGAAGGAAAAAAGAAGTTTTGCTTTTGATGGATATAGTTCAGTCTGCATCAAACGAGCATAGTTCCACCTTTGACAGCTCTAGGGCGACATTCAGGGGTAACGTTTCTTCCCTGGAGCTGTCATAACCCATTATCCCCATTTCTACTCAAATTCATCATAGACGTACTAATGGACTTAACCCTAACTCACTTCAGCGACTCAGGGATTGACTTGCTAGCAGGGAATAATCTCGTCAACTTAGAATATGCAGACGATATAGTCCTTCTAGGTGAGGACGCTGACAAAATGCAGAGTCTTATTAACACCTTGAGCAACAATCTTCGTATGTTCGGCATGTGATTCACCCCTGTAAAATGTAAGGTGATGTTGCAGGATTGGACTGTACCGATCCCTAGATTAGAAATAGGAAGTGAAGTGGTAGAGCACGTTGACCGCTTCACTTACTTGGGAAGTACCATCAGCCCCAACGGGTTGATCGCTGACGAAATCTCAGCACGAATACAGAGGGCTAGTTTCGCATATGCCAGTTTACGCCGTCTCTGGCGTAGATGCGATATCCGGTTATCGACCAAAGGGCGTGTGTACTGCTCAACAGTCCGCCCCGTCCTCCTTTATGGCTGTGAGACCTGGTCATTGAGAGCAGAAGACATGAAAAGATTAGCTGTCTTTGATCATAGGTGTCTGCGTTCTATCTTTCGCGTGAAGTGGTATGATAAGGTGAGCAATATTGAGGTTAGGCGTTGGTTGAGTGCTAGGTAAGGTGGGGAAATCAGTCGACGAGACTGTGAAATTACATCGACTGAGATAGTTAAGACATGTGTTACGTATGCCTAGTCATTGCCTTCCTCGACAGGCAATGCTAGCTGATATAGGGTCAGACTGGAAAAGAGCTAGCGGTGGTCAAACGAAAACATGGCACCAGTCAATGAAATCCACAACAGTTAGTCTAAGCCACGTAGGGAGATGTAGACTTCCTGGATGGGGTCCTCGGGACGGTAAAAACCAATGGTTGGAAACAATTGGTGACATGGCTCAAAGTGATCGTTCTCAATGTCTGGCGCAGATGCATCCACTCCTTGTGACTTATGATTTCCAATGAAACTGTTTTGTTCTTCGTTATTACTATATCTTTGTCTCACACCTCTGTTTACTGTCTCTATTATGCATTTCTCCTACTTTCTTCTCCTGCTTTGTGTGCTACATGGAGTGTGGCGAATTGAACTGCCGCACATATGTGCAAAGTTCTATGTCGGAAACAGACAGACAGACAGGAGTTGTTATAATAATTATCAAAGATATCAGATCCTTTAGAGGTGGTACAACCAGTCTTCATCTTAGTGTGTGAGCTGCTAGTAGAGTCCTACGACCGTGCATCATCCCTACACGAAGAACCTTCATTGACATTGACACTCAGTTTTAACACACCCTCTCTCTATTCTGTCTGATCTGAAGCTCATGAAATTCTAGCTTCTGTTTCTGCCTGAGCTCATGTAAAACTATTCTAGCGCCTAGCCCTAACACCATCATTAACTAAATTGAAACCAGAGCCATGACATGAAAGCGCATTAAATGAGACTTGTTGTAATTCATGAGGTACATCCGAAGGTGCCAGGTTTTTCTTCATGGTAGCTCTCGTACGTTTGCCAGGTATCTCGGGTACGCTTTCATAGCGTGTATTCGTATTGAAAATCAAAATCAAGTAGGGTTTTACCCTTTTACTCTACGCCAGATTTCTGTCCTTACTGAGCTCATGGTAGAACACTCGCGTTACCATTTGACCTTGGTTTAACCACCAACAGCTGTTTTACAGCCTGATCCTATATTGGCTAACCATTGTCCATCGAGGAATGCATTAGCTTGGCATGTGTAACACATGTCGTAGCCATCTCAATCGATGCAGCTTCACAACACACATTGATTGACTTTGAGTGTTTGTGGCCCTGTGTGTGTTTTCTGGTTATTGATTTTCATTCTGATATTTTTGAAATCATTCTTCTCGTTTAATGTCTGATTATTTGACCTAGACAACAGTTAGTGAGTTTGTCTGAAATGAATTATGGCGTTATAAAATCGTCCGATGTCTATAGGTGCCTTTGTCTGTGCCTATTGTTGAATTACAATATATAATTTAGCATAATATTAAAAAAAAATGATTCGTGAAGTTAATAGAATTTTTGGGCGCTATATATATGTAGCGAATTGGCGGGAGTTAGAATTCAAGAACCCCATTGGATTCTCTCTCAGTAGTTCAATGATCAGTGGTGTCATCTGGTAAACTGAAGTTCCTGTGTTCGATCCCCAGTCGGGTAGGGTGGTGAGTGTTTCCTTCCTTCTGAAGAGTCTCGGACTAGTACGAAACACTGGCCTAGTATTTCTCGGTTTTCACTGGTTCTGTTACTGATGTTAGTTGGTGATCTAAATTGAAATGCCATTTTAAATATCGATCAAGCCACTGTGTGTTTTTCTCAAATTCATTTAGCTCATCAACATTGATTTTATGGGTTGATTTGATTTCTTCTAATTTAGAAGCTAATGCACTTCCTAAGCAAATTATTATCCTTCTTTGTAGATAGATAGGGAAAATTTGTCATGAAATGTAAATCACCTTACGAACTGACATCTGTCAAATAGTCATTGAAAATCACCAAACACCGGACAGTTGTTTCATCCTAGCTTGGGCCTCTTCAGTAGTGTATACTGATGACTTCATCAGAGGTTGAACCCAGGATCTTCGGCTTACGAAGCCAATAAATCAATCATCAAACGGTGAATTCTAACATCTCTGTCGATTTGTAGGGGCACCCAATGTCCAGAATAGAACTATTGGTATCCTTCTTTTCTTCTCTGAATAGCCAGACTGGACAGTATTCCAGAATACATTTGTGGACTTGATGTTGCATACGGCTGATATACTTTGCTAAAACACACGAACAAGTAAACTGATAAATACACGGTGAGACGGCCAGAAGTGTGGTAGCTTTGCCTTAATGCTTGGTTGGATTAACTGTCTTTTGGAGAATGTGATATGCAATATTCTTTTAATTTGACACTAGTCAGTAACTAGTGTAATGTATCTAGTTATATGTTTGGTGTAGTCAAGTTTGCAGTATGGCCACCATGCTAGGTGACTCGCCATCATTGGTGCACTGTGAATTGTTTGTATTGGTTACTGACGAGTGCCAAATAGCACGAAACCTAGATGTAAGGCTTATATATATTTACATAGCTGAATCACAAAACATTCTTACAGTTTTGTTTGTAGATAAGCTTAAGAAAGAAAATTTAAACGCAAGGACAAAATTCAGATCACCTGCTGAGTTGCTGTTCACGGAAATTCTGTTTGTATATTTGATAAAAGAGGTTCTACTTCCCTACTGTATATTTGTCCGGATATTTATTCACCATTGATTTGATAAAAAGTATAGAAATTTTGTGTATTCATTAAAATTCATTGGAATATTGTTGTGTCCTTGTTTTGGGACTGTGTCCAACAGGCAACTAGTCTCGTAATCTGAAACTCCTGTTGGAATCATGGGTGTGGATTGTCGGAGATTTCTAAACTAGGAGGCAACAACTGTGCAGTACTCCATGCTTTCCAATAATTCTCTAGCTGACGTCAGTTTGTGACGGATTACACATATGTATTGAGACTGTGTTGCCTTGTTTATGTTCATTTTACAGAAGTATTATTTCTGTACTGGGTGGTCTAGGAATATAAGCAGACGTCCACCACCTATTTTTCTCTTATGTGAACTGGTCGAACTCTGTCCTTCATATCTAGGGAATATCATTATGGTATCATTTTATCTTGAGATAGTTTTGTGCGAAGATGTAACTCATCTTGCCGCTTATGTCGCTCGTAGTTCGTAGGTTCGAACTCTACCTCTATTTCACCAGCCCGTCGACAAAAATTGAGTTTTTGGGTAATCATCGGCTCTAACATTGATTAATACACTTTGCGTGTTCACTATTGTTTGATTGAATTCAGATTTTGGGAGAGGTTTTTCATGTTCCAGCCTATGAGGCACACTTTATTGTATCAGGGGTGATGATACCATCCGGTCGCCCTAAGACTGAACTCGTTTAAGGGGGACTCGATCCCAAGACCCGGTGAACCCCATCGCTAGGTGTTTACTATTAAGTACTCTGATGTTGTCTGTCACAAAGCTGCTTGCCTTCATTCATGTAGAACATGAGTCAGACGCTTTGAAGAAGGTTCTTTTAACCCTTTTCTATTTACTGTTACTACTGTTTTCTGTTTAATAAAGTAGTGTTTTACTTTTTATTCTAAAGTTTTTCAGTGAGCGATTATACGTTGCTCAATCTTCTAGTCAAGAACAGCTGGATATCTTGTTCGATTTACTACAAAAAACATTGGCTGGTGAAATTGCCTCGCTAGATAAAAGTGTACAACCAGCAGTACAAGGTGGTGGAACATCGGGATCTTCGCGTCACCACCAGCATCAACAACAGCCACAACAACAATCACAACGGCACCGTCATCATCGTTATCAGAATGCTGTGTCTATTATACACGGACGATTAACTAGCAATGTAGCTGCATTAGGTGTACGCTGTCGACTTGTTGAAATGTGTTTAAGTCTATTACAGAATACTGGATTTAAACCTACCAATGTTGGATATCAAGGAATTTCAACGGATGAGACGTCTAGTGGTGTCGGTGGTGGTGGAGGTGCTACAACAGCAGGTGGTGGTGGGGGTGGTGGTATTTCTGGAGGAGCAGGAGGCGGAGGAATTGGGGGTGGTGGAGGGGGGATGGGTAGTAGTGCTGGAAGTTTAGTCAGTGCTGGCGGTAGAACAGGCGGGAGCAGTAATAGTCAATCTTCAAATGACAGTGGACATTTATTCCCGTTGGCTAGAATTGCTCTTCGAGAGAAGGCGTATGCAGCTATATTGAATTATTTCACGTATGTCTTCTCAGAAAAATTTTGGTTACAGTTTTGTTCGAATATGATTACCTTTTATTATTTATTAGTATTATATGTATATATCAATTATTTATTATGATTATCATTCCCTTTGGTTTTGAGTGGAACTTCTTAAGATTTTATCAGCACGTCTATTGGCTTTCATCTCCTCCTTACACGATCTCCTCCCATATTGCCGCCTGACCCATGCCCAACTCGTGGTTTCTCATTTGCCTTCCACTCGAAGGTCTGGCAGACGATGCCAGTGTATGTTCAACCCATCTGAATTTCCTTCTGCATATATGTTAGGTGACAGGTTCTTGATGCATTCGTTGCTGATCCTTTCTCTCCAGTCAGTCTGATCTTCAGTGTGGAGCCAGTGAAGACAGCTGTTGATGAAATACTTTTGGTGACACACACACATCAAGTCTTTAAACAATAATAGAAGCACTGACTGGCTTGACATTAGTGCTAAAAATGTGAATCCTGTTCATTTATATGCTAAGTTCAGCTATGTAACATACCTCTTATTTCCTTCATTATAGTGATATTTAAGGTGCACCTTTCATTCTCTTCTGAGCTCCTCAGCTAGATATGTTCATATCTTGGTGAACGAGTACTCATGGATGGACTTGTTACCATCACGCAGTAATCTCGTTGACTTAGAAAATGCAGATGATATAGTCCTTCTAGGTGAAGATGCTGACTAAATACAGAGTCTTTTGAACACCTTGAGAGATGATCAGCAGTCTTCGAATGTTTGGTATGCGATTGGCTGACTACTGTCAAATGTGTAAGATGATGCTTTAGGACTGGACTACATTGACTCATTCCTAGCTTAAAGGTAGGTAGGAGTGAAGTGGTTGGTTGGTGGAGCGTGTTGACCACTTCACTTATTTAAGGAGTTGCATCAGCAGCGACGGGTCGGTCGCTGACGAAATCTCAACATGGATACAGAAGGCTCGTTTTGCATACGCTAACTTACGCCATCTCTCGTTTAGTAGACTTGATATCCAGCTGGCTGGCTATTTGTCAAACGACATGTGTACTGCTCCGCAGCTGTTTGCTCCGTCCTCCTCTATAGTTGTGAGAGAGACTTGGCCAATGGAAGGAGAAGATATGAAAAGGCAGGCTAGCTGTCTTTGATCATAGGTGTCTGCATTCTATCTTCTGTGTTAGATGGAAGTATAATAATAGAGTGAGTAATATTGAGGTCAGGCTTCGGTCGAATGCTAGGTAAGTGGAAGGGGAAATCAATCGACGAGGTTGTGAAGCAGCTGCATCGATTGAAATGGTTAGGACATGTGCTACACATGCATCCCTAGACATCACCCTCCTCTACAGGTAATGTTAGCCAACTTAGGATGTGTGAAGCTGAAAAACACCTACCTAGTGGTGGTGGTCAAACCAAACCATGTATTTACCAATCAATTGAGTCCACAACAGTTAGTTTAAGCCAACCAGCCACTTAGAGAGGTGTAGACTTCCTGACTGACTGGTTCAGGTACTAGGGATGGTAAAGACCAATAAAGGCTGGAGAAAATTGGTGATTTGGCTCAAAATCGTCGTTGTTAATGGCTGGCCTGGCGCAGATGCATTCAATCCTTGTGATTTATCATATCCAATAAAATTCTGTTGTTCTTCCATATTACTATTCTTTTCGCCTCATATTTTTGTTTATTATGTCTGTTTTGAATCGTTCCCTTCTCTTGCTTTGTGTGCGGTAGATGAAGGGAGAGTTGCAACTCAAACTGGTGCACTTCTGTGCAAAATTCCACGTTAAATCAAGTCAGTCAGTCAGATGTTTAGAGTTTTGACCGAGTTTTAGGTTGATGTAATTGATAGATTTCATGAACTGATTCCATGATTTGGTTCGACCATCACTAGCTGCTTCCCAACATGATCCTATGTCAGCTAACATTAGTCGTCGAAAAAAGCCGGCGGCTCTGCAATGGTTCTACGTGTTCTAACTATCTGAATCAGTGTAGCTCGATAACCTCATTGATTCGCTTGTTCTCTTTACCTGATACTCGATGCTTAACTTTAGTATTTCTCACCCCATTATTATACCACCTAACATGGATGACAGACCTCAGACACTTGTGATCGATGACAGCTAGCCTTGTCACATATCTTCCACTTGCAATGGTCATGTCTTCCAGCCAGTCATAAAGAAGGACGAAGCAAACTGTTTCTCAGTACACATGTCCTTGAGTCGATAACCTGCCGGATATCACGTCTACTCCACTTTGTGGATTAACTTACACGTTTAAACGGTGATGTTTCACTTATAAATAACCTTCTACAAATCAATCTATGAACTTCATTGTATTTGCTTCTCATTGGTCATTTTCATTTATGTGATTATCATTTTTCATTCTTAGGGTGAAACCACAATATCCAATGAAACAAGGCGCGGATTTATCAGATGAATTAAAAGCACTGAGTCGTCTTTGGAGTTTAATGCAAGCTGAACGTAAATACTTGAGTACAAGTATGATCGAAACGGAAATGAGTGCCCTGCTGGAATCTGTTGGTCGTGGTGGTTATGGTGGTGGTGCTGTTGGTGGTTTCATCAGTGATATTGATGCAGCAATCAATTTTCAAGATCAAGGCTTAGTCAATACACCTGAATCTTGTCTTGTTGGAAGTAGTAGCGGAGCGACTGGTGTCCTCGGGACACCGATTAGTCCAGCAAGTTTTCCTACAAATCCTGTGTCGAATACAACTTTTAATGCAACTAGTTCATCACCGAATATTCGACATGTGAATTCATACATTTATAATGAATCATGTATGATAACACCGAATGTTACACCAGGTGTAGCAGCCACCCCAGGAACAACAACAACCCCAACCCCAATGACAACTGGTGGCGGTGGGGGGGGTGGTAGCAGTAGTACTACTAGTGGAGGTACACTGCCAAGATTACGTTCACAAGTTATGCTGTTAACTGATCAACCCTTAGAACGTCCTGGTGTTGGTTCATTAATCCTACCGTCTGCATTGAATTCGACAACTTCATCAACACTTCAAAATGCTGCTGTACTAGCTGGTAGTAATATTGCACATTCGGTTGTCTCTAAGCGTTCATCAGCTACTGGAGGTAAAGTATATTTTGCTTACATATATACATATATATATATATGTAAGGTAGAAGTGGTTAGAATCGATTAATTTTACAAGGATAGCACGTAATTAAAGATGAAATGGTCAGAAAAAATAAAATAATTTGGATAATTATAATTTTCATAGTTTTTAAATGTTTAGGGGAAGGGGGCGAAGTAGTGCGGTTTACGCATTCATGTAACGATGGCCAAGGCAAGGAAAGTGGCTTTACATATTTCTTCTGAACACACAAGTTTGGCTTCTTCAGGTGGATTCCTATTGCTTCAGCTGTCTGTAGAAGGCGAACTCGTAGAGCAAAATTAAGATTAATAGGAATGCGATAGATAATTTTAAATGCTGTATTAACGTCAATCTTATGCTCACTGTCTGCAAGGTGTGCTAAAATAAAGCTACGAATAGATCTTTTTTGTCCCTTACTTAACCATGTTGAATGATATTCGGAAATATGATGATGAACCTGCCTAATTGTACTGTACGCCCAATGTAGCTGGCTCCGTAGCTGCAGTCAAACTGGTAAATGCACATAGAAGAGGCCAGTTTAGGTAGTTTATCCTTATTTCTCGAACGTAGAATAAGGGCGGTTGTGAAGAGACCATAGTTACATGAATGTATAAACCGCACTACTTCGCCCCCCTCCCCCTAAACCTTTAAAAACTATAAAAAAAATTATAATTGTCCAAATTATTTTATTCTATTTTTATTTATTTTGACCACTTCATCTTTAATTACGTGTTATCCTTGTAAAATTAATTTATTCTAACCATTTCTACCTTTTAATTGTGTATTGATTTTCTTCGTTAACTATCAACCCATTGACACTGACTAATTATTGTTAAGAAACATATCAGTGCCACTTCATTGGTGATCTGTTGTGTATTGTAATAAAAATGCTGTATATATTTCAGTAGAGCCAGAGATGAGGATCTAAATGAAAAGTAAATATTTCTTCGCTCAGTTGAGATGTTTTTTGTTGAAGGCTTAAAAGCCATTAAAGAAATGGTACATGCATCGAATTGACGATGATTCCTATATATCATATAGATGGATTTTAATTTCCTGTGTAAAACGGGAGAAGATAAGAGACTTGTTAATGGACCTTTATTAAAGGAAACAAAACATCGTATACATTCTCAGCCATATTGAAATTCGGCTAGGTCAGAGGAAGAGAATAAACTGTTCTGATTGGCCGGCAATTGACCCAAGGTTAAACAAGTCGTCCAATGAGATTATTTCATGTCCACAATGTAAACTAGATTCAGATTCGAGGAATAAGCACTTCTATCTTTGCAGCTATTATTGACTTGAGATGTTGATTTCGGTTTTTTGCCCGCTTCATATCACGCCACACGTATTACCAAGAACGTGTAAGTGGTTTCACTGAAAGCGTTTTCTATCTTGGATCAGATCAGACTGATTTATGTCGTAGTAGAGATTGGATTCAATTTCTGTGATAGGGTCACTAGGCCCACTCTGAGCTGACTCTCCATCTTCAGGCTTGTAAACTGGACGAGGTTTTTCTGTTATGAGTGTCATACGTGCTTAAATCAGTTTTAACTAGAAGAAAGCAAGAAGAACACTCACACACGTTGGAACACGATAAAGTGACGTCATCAGATATTACGTTGATTTTTGTCATTTATGTACAACCATGCATAAATATTTTAAAATGAATATACAATTTATTCAAATACCAAATAACTAGATTGCAAAGATCCCAGTCCTATCGCTGGTTTCAGAAGACTGAGTCCAATACTGTCTGTTTTCGACATAGAACTTTGCACATATGTTTGGCAGTTCAAGTTGCCACACTCCCCACATGTAGCACACAAAGCAACAGAAGAAAGTAGGAGAAATGCATGATATAGACAGTAAACAGAGGTGTGAGACAAAGGAATAGTAATAACGAAGAACAAAACAGTTCAATTGGAAATCATAAGTCACAAGGAGTGGCTAGGACCCCAACCAGTCAGGAAGTCTACACCTTCCTACGTGGCTTAGACCGACTGTTTGACTGGTGTCCAATACGCAGAATACAATGCACTGTAACTGACTGGCAATAACAGAAAATGGTTGGGCAATGAGATTTTTTATTTTTCAAGCGATGATGAAACAGATTTACGATGGTTAATCGGTGCCAAAGTCTGTAAATGAACGTTATTATAATGTGCAAGAATACTTATGATCGTACTTCTCTAATCTTATACCGACGAGTAAACGACTAACCACTGTGCGTCGGTGGCACAGTGGTTAGGACTCTCGCCGACCATGCACATGGTCCGGGGTTCGATCCCCTGCTGACGCACAGCTGATATCTATGGTCGGCTTGAAAAATTTGGGCCACCGATATGACATGCTGAAAATTCCATACCTGTACCAAAAAATGTGGTGTGGAATCAAACTGTAATCAAAAATAAAATAAAATAAATTATGCCCTTCTTGTCTCCCGCCAGTATGGAGACCACTTTGAACGAAAAATAACGATTCAATGTTCGCTAGCATTGAACGTGGTTTTATTCATCATATAGGTGTTGATGCTTATTAATATCACGTGGTTAAGTAGTATAGTGCAATGTACTAAAAGTGTCATTGTTAAGCACTTTAGTATCTATAGAAATAATTAAGAGATATTCTAGAATGACGAATGAATATTAGAAATTGAATCGACGTGTATAAATTCATGAATACACACTCATATAAGGGTCAAATAATTTGGTGGCACAGAGCACAGAGGTCAAAAAGGAGTCTGCTCAAGAATGTAAAAAAAGAAGAGACAAAATTAGAGTAGAAAATTACTTTGTCAGAACAACCAAATTAATAATTGAAATTTGATGCTCACTAGTTACTGGTTCTATTCAGGTAGGTACTACTTACCTTGGTTCAAGAGGGAATTCGTGACCAGTAGGGTACAACAGGTCGGTTGTGAGGACAAATACTTTCCAGCGATGACCATTGAGAAGTGGTCGCTCTATATCATGAGTCGGAAGATGTTGGAATTCATCGGGTGGTCACTGGATGGGGTCACAGTGTCTGAATAGTCTAAACTAGGTCACCTCGTAACCAGAGGATCCTCGGTTCGAACTTTGGCGGTGGGTGCGTGCTGATGAAGAATCCCAAACTAAGACTAGGGAAACAGCTGTTATGATTACTCCCTGATGGTTTCCCAATGGTTTTCTAGTCGATGTCAGCTCATGATGAAATCCTATATTAAAATAACAAATTTAATGAAAAAACGAAACATTTGGATAGCGTTAAGGCAAGATTAACAGCAGTTTCTTTCTGGATCCATAAATTGGGTTTCAGTAGTCTGTCTAATGGCAATTGCTTCAGTGATGGAGCTATCTTGAACTACAATTATCTTGATGAATTGTAATGTGTCGATTTCGTGATCGTTGTCTAACAGGCGGAAAGCAGTCGCACTGACTACAGGCACTTTTGCACCCTTCAGACGCCAAATTTCGTGGAATATAGTGATACATGCAGTCACAAATCCTTGTTTCTGTTCGTTCGATGTATGGCGACATGAAAGGGAGACTCGTCAACCTTAGATTGTGTTGTAGCGTGTGCTACTGACAAGATTCATCAGTAGTATATAAAGGGAGGCTCATCAGCATAAAATGTCAAATAGTGAAGTGATAGACTTGACGTTTAATAAGAGGAAATGAACCTGGCGTTATGGCAACACGAAAAGAGGACAAAGAAATACAGTACAAACAGCAGAAGTAGTACAACACAGATCTGTGGAAATGACTATTTCCATATAAATTGTACATAATTTCCCTACATAGAGATATCAAATTCCAAATAGACACTGTTTCCAGGTCGCTTGTCTGCATTTTATTCGGCGAACTGTGGTTAACCTGGCTGCTGGATATAAATTCCCTTGAGAGTGTCTTTTATTTTATTGATATAAGATATATTTTATCGAGTTCTTCCAGGCATGTGATCATTTTTGAATCCAGAATTAAGGAGGCTTGGTTTCTTTTCTATCGTATCATAAATTGTTACTTTTATGCTTGGTATTCTCTTGTGTTTATCAAGGAATTTTTTTAAGGATATCCATTGTCTCCATTAAATTCTTTTCTATGACAGTTAGCTGATCAATAAGCCTTTCTTTCGAACAAGGTTTTTTTCGACGGCAGTAGAAGTTATCCTTTTTGAATCTCCTCTTGATTGATTTTATTATACCCTGGTTGACTTTTTTGACTTTCTGACTCTTAGGACGAGCGCCTCGATGATATCTTTAGGTTAAATTGTTGTTATGAATTAATGGTGTGTTGTAATGGAATCTAAGATGTTAGCTATTGGGTTTGACTCACCGCAGGAAGGCCGATATTAACTTGGATGAAAAGCACACCTTGGCTTCCCATCACCAGACACATATTCTCAGTAGTATCTGTTTATAATCTTAATTGTTTAGTCATACCCTTCAATATTACACATTTTAAATTATACATTACTGATTTCGAGTGGTTATCAATTTATTAATAAATTCTCTCATAAAGAATGTAACATCACACGTAAATTTATTAAAGATTTAACAGTACAATGAAGGACCCTAGTCTCACCTGATTGGAGTCATATCAAGCACTATTTTTTTCCTTCACGTTCCACAGTGAAACATAGGGCTTCAAGCTAGTTGGTTTGAAGTTTCTGTAGCAATGTTTATTTTACAGGATGGGGTTGCTAGCCTCATGCCCAACCTTTCCTCTTCAACAGCATTATTTCTGGCTTAGCGAGGTAAAGGAGTGCGTCGGCCGGGGACCGAACCCCGGACCATGTGCATGGTCGGAGAGCATCCTAACGGCTATGCCACCGACGCACTATGGGGACATAAACATATATTCCCTACCTCTTTATTCACTATTGCGAAGCCGTTATATTCTTCCTCAGTCATTTCTATCTTAAGTTCCATCACGAACTGACTTCAGTTTGACTGTCATTGTTTCGGACTCTTCGCTAATACGTACCCTCATGGACCACCAGGGACTGAACCCAGGATCTTTAGCCTACACGGTGAGCTCTTTGACTGTTCAACTACTGATATGAAATCTTATGGGCTATAAATTCTAACTTCAGCCTATTCGCGATAGATAACGCGACCGCCAACTAACTGTCATCACTGAATGTCTGCCGGTCATCTGACGAAACAACTATCCACCAGTACTCTCCTATGGTTTTCAGTGGTTCTCTAACTGGTGTCAGACAATTCGTGAACAAACTTGAAATCAGTTGAACCCCTACAAAGCAACACCTGAAAATTTAATTATTTTGAAGGAAAAATAGTTGAATAGTTTTCGCAAGCATACGCAGCAATTGTGATTGGAATTCCATGAGTTTGAAATCATGCGTAATAAATTCTAGTTGATGCTGTATTCGACTCAGCAACCGTTTTGTTTCCTTTACCGATTCTCCCTTTTACTACTGAATCCATATGATGTGACCCAATTCATTCTAGCCTTTGCTTCTTTGTTACCACGGATTATTACAAAATACCATCTACATAATTGAGTTTTATACCGTTCACATGTCACCAAGATCTATATCGTTAGTTATTATCACCGTATTCCTTTGTTGATATTCGAATTTATGGAGCCACTGACATATACACACATATTCTACTACTATAACTTTTATCGTTGGATTTTACAAATCACGTGCTTTGTTTCTACATTCTTTACACTCACTTCACTTTACACACTTCAAGCTTTTGAAGTTTCAGTAGCCGACGCATTTTCTGGCCTCATGCCCAACAATGCCTCTTTTCTGGGCGTACTATCGACAATGAGGCTTAGGAGTGCGCATCGGCCAGGAATTGAACCCATGCCAGCGACTAGAGAAACGCCGACAAGAAAATCCCGTAATCGCGTTGTCATTGTGAGCATTTTTTATACATTTAAATTAAACTACTTATAAGTAGTCTAAGTTTATTCAACCACCTCAAAAATGTATTTCGTATTTGTTTCTATAAATTAGGTAAACAAAGCGCTAGAACAACTGGAGAAAATTATTTGAAACAAATATTCTTGCAAAAACGTGAATTGATTTTAATTCTATTGGTATGTGATACTTTTTTTCTCTTCTTGGGGTTTTATCTTCGAAAATCTTTATGAAAATGACTATTATTTTATATACTTGGTGGTGTTTGAAGTTGACATGAAAATCTCGGTTGTATGCTGGGTGGGCGTCTAGTATGGTGATAGACAGTAACTTGCGTCTTATATATGCAAGAGAAGAGAATAAAGAAAGGAAGACGAAATTTGCAGTATAAAATGATATCATTCTATTTCACAGGTTCTCATCAGCTGCAGACTACCTGAAATTACAATGGTTATATAAATGATAATAACATACTTTAATGTTTGATTAGTAGTAGAGAACAGATAAAATTGACGCATCCAAAAAAGAATGAAAGCATTACAATTTTAGTTTAAGTTATCATCATCAATTTATACACTTTCAGAGTTGAAAAGAGGGGGGAGAGGTAAGACAGAAAACAGAAAAATTGATTAACAGAAACAGTGTTAGTTTGTAGGTTCACATGGCAACTCCAAAAAACAAAAGCATTTACAGTTTATAAGATTGAGATTTGCTCAGTGAGTTGAGATCACTGATGACTAATCAAAATCAAAATTCAGTTACCAAGGGAGTGAGAGGTTAATCACACTCTCTTTCTGTATGCATAAGTCTGGTTTAAATCGTTTGATTGCGATCGCTTCGGCAAATCGTAGTAAATTTGCTGTCCTTTGTCTATTTAATATTTTGAAGGACTTAGAGATCTCTACGAGATGTCCGGTATCAACAATATGTCTGGTAATTGCACTCTGAGAATATTTGCTTCCTTTCAGGCATAGATTTCTTGGAATATGTTCAGAAAACCGGATAGAAGCCCTTCTTTCTGTCCTTCCAATGTACTTGCTCCCGCAAGTGCACGTAAATTCATAAACGCAGTTGGAGGTGACATCAGCAGGGTATTTATCCAGTTTTGAGTTGATCATGGAAGGAGTGGTGTTGTATACTGTTATGAGTTTTGCTGCCGGGAAGCTTCTATTTATTGCTCCTTTCAGTCTTCTGTCAATCTTTTGTGAAACTGCATCTCCTTTGAATGGGAGACAAATAAACACTTTTTTCTTTTCTACAGTTGGATGCTTTTCTTTCTTATCTTTTTCTCTGCTGTACTTCTGTATAAAGCCTTTAGGATATCCGTTTTCCCTCAGGCATTTCTCGATGAAATCTAGTTCTTCTTCGACCTTGTTTGGTGAACATAGCTTCCTGGCTCTGTCGTACAAAGTCCTCACTAATCCACGTTTATAGCTTATGGGACAAAAGCTGTTATAGTGAAGATATTGTCCAGTCCAGGTTTCTTTTCTATAGATGGACTTTTCAATTATGCCTTCGTTTGTTCTTTTTACATTTAGATCCAGGAAATTGAACTCATTTTTATGTTCATATTCCATGGTGAACTTGATATTTGGATGAATCTCATTTAGGCGATCATATAATGCCGATGCGTGATCCATGTCGTTGCAAACAACAAATGTGTCATCAACATATCGGCGATAGTAGGTTGTTCCATTGATAGCAGAACTTAGTTGTGTCTGTTCAAGGTAGCCCATGAAGATATCAGCCAGGATAGGTCCCAGAGGTGAACCCATAGCGACCCCATCAATTTGTCGGTAGAGTTGATTGTCGAATTTGAATTGAATATCTTTTGTGCAGAGCAGCAGTAGTCGCTTCATCTCTGTTTCCGGTAACGGTAGTAGATCCGTTTGTTTACAAATGATATCAATCGTTTCCATCAGTGGTACGTTTGTGAACAAGGAGGTCACGTCATACGATACCATGAGTTTGTCTGATATGTCAATGTTGTCGACTTCCTTGGAGAATTGGTAGCTATCCTTCAGGCTATGGGTTGCAAATTTAATTCGAATTGGCTCTATGGAATCAGCTAACCATTGAGCTAACTTGTGGCATGGTGAGTCAATCATTGACAAGATTGGTCTTAAAGGCACGTTTGCTTTATGGATTTTCGGTAGGCCGTACATAAAAGGCAGGCGTCCACCTTTTGACTTCAGTTTATTGTATGTTTCGCTGTTGATTAGTTTCTTCATTAGAAGTTCTTTGAGACATTTATTTACTTTATTTTCAAACGACGTTGTGCCATCTTTTTTGTTGTCTACTTGGAATTTTTCTTTGTCGTTTAGAATTGTCATCATTTTATGAATATAATCAGCTTTGTTCATTATAACAACCCCAGAGCCTTTATCGGGTCTAAATATGACGATTTCATCGTTCTCATATAGTTTCTTCAGAGCTATTCTATGCTCTTCGGTCAGCATCTTTTGCTTCTCCATTGGCGATATGTGGTATTGGTTAGCAATATCAACAAGTTTAGACTTTAGCCATCCTCTTTTGTCTTCGTCTAAGGGTTTCAGGTCCTGGAGTTGATGGTATAAGTGTTCGAATTGTGCTTCTGTATCTATACGACTGATCTGCTTCTTGGGGACGTGAAACTTGAATCCTAGAGATAAGGCTTCTAATTCGATTTTGTTTAATTGTAATTTTGATAGATTACAGACGTAGCGTTCAGGTGATTCTGGGAATTCTTCGATTAGCTTCTCTTTCACCAACGCCTTTGTCAGCTGAGTTTCATAATCCTTGGATGTTTTTGATTGTAGCTCTTTGATAAAATTCATGAATTTTATCAAAGAGCTACAATCAAAAACATCCAAGGATTATGAAACTCAGCTGACAAAAGCGTTGGTGAAAGAGAAGCTAATCGAAGAATTCCCAGAATCACCTGAACGCTACGTCTGTAATCTATCAAAATTACAATTAAACAAAATCGAATTAGAAGCCTTATCTCTAGGATTCAAGTTTCACGTCCCCAAGAAGCAGATCAGTCGTATAGATACAGAAGCACAATTCGAACACTTATACCATCAACTCCACGACCTGAAACCCTTAGACGAAGACAAAAGAGGATGGCTAAAGTCTAAACTTGTTGATATTGCTAACCAATACCACATATCGCCAATGGAGAAGCAAAAGATGCTGACCGAAGAGCATAGAATAGCTCTGAAGAAACTATATGAGAACGATGAAATCGTCATATTTAGACCTGATAAAGGCTCTGGGGTTGTTATAATGAACAAAGCTGATTATATTCATAAAATGATGACAATTCTAAACGACAAAGAAAAATTCCAAGTAGACAACAAAAAAGATGGCACAACGTCGTTTGAAAATAAAGTAAATAAATGTCTCAAAGAACTTCTAATGAAGAAACTAATCAACAGCGAAACATACAATAAACTGAAGTCAAAAGGTGGACGCCTGCCTTTTATGTACGGCCTACCGAAAATCCATAAAGCAAACGTGCCTTTAAGACCAATCTTGTCAATGATTGACTCACCATGCCACAAGTTAGCTCAATGGTTAGCTGATTCCATAGAGCCAATTCGAATTAAATTTGCAACCCATAGCCTGAAGGATAGCTACCAATTCTCCAAGGAAGTCGACAACATTGACATATCAGACAAACTCATGGTATCGTATGACGTGACCTCCTTGTTCACAAACGTACCACTGATGGAAACGATTGATATCATTTGTAAACAAACGGATCTACTACCGTTACCGGAAACAGAGATGAAGCGACTACTGCTGCTCTGCACAAAAGATATTCAATTCAAATTCGACAATCAACTCTACCGACAAATTGATGGGGTCGCTATGGGTTCACCTCTGGGACCTATCCTGGCTGATATCTTCATGGGCTACCTTGAACAGACACAACTAAGTTCTGCTATCAATGGAACAACCTACTATCGCCGATATGTTGATGACACATTTGTTGTTTGCAACGACATGGATCACGCATCGGCATTATATGATCGCCTAAATGAGATTCATCCAAATATCAAGTTCACCATGGAATATGAACATAAAAATGAGTTCAATTTCCTGGATCTAAATGTAAAAAGAACAAACGAAGGCATAATTGAAAAGTCCATCTATAGAAAAGAAACCTGGACTGGACAATATCTTCACTATAACAGCTTTTGTCCCATAAGCTATAAACGTGGATTAGTGAGGACTTTGTACGACAGAGCCAGGAAGCTATGTTCACCAAACAAGGTCGAAGAAGAACTAGATTTCATCGAGAAATGCCTGAGGGAAAACGGATATCCTAAAGGCTTTATACAGAAGTACAGCAGAGAAAAAGATAAGAAAGAAAAGCATCCAACTGTAGAAAAGAAAAAAGTGTTTATTTGTCTCCCATTCAAAGGAGATGCAGTTTCACAAAAGATTGACAGAAGACTGAAAGGAGCAATAAATAGAAGCTTCCCGGCAGCAAAACTCATAACAGTATACAACACCACTCCTTCCATGATCAACTCAAAACTGGATAAATACCCTGCTGATGTCACCTCCAACTGCGTTTATGAATTTACGTGCACTTGCGGGAGCAAGTACATTGGAAGGACAGAAAGAAGGGCTTCTATCCGGTTTTCTGAACATATTCCAAGAAATCTATGCCTGAAAGGAAGCAAATATTCTCAGAGTGCAATTACCAGACATATTGTTGATACCGGACATCTCGTAGAGATCTCTAAGTCCTTCAAAATATTAAATAGACAAAGGACAGCAAATTTACTACGATTTGCCGAAGCGATCGCAATCAAACGATTTAAACCAGACTTATGCATACAGAAAGAGAGTGTGATTAACCTCTCACTCCCTTGGTAACTGAATTTTGATTTTGATTAGTCATCAGTGATCTCAACTCACTGAGCAAATCTCAATCTTATAAACTGTAAATGCTTTTGTTTTTTGGAGTTGCCATGTGAACCTACAAACTAACACTGTTTCTGTTAATCAATTTTTCTGTTTTCTGTCTTACCTCTCCCCCCTCTTTTCAACTCTGAAAGTGTATAAATTGATGATGATAACTTAAACTAAAATTGTAATGCTTTCATTCTTTTTTGGATGCGTCAATTTTATCTGTTCTCTACTACTAATCAAACATTAAAGTATGTTATTATCATTTATATAACCATTGTAATTTCAGGTAGTCTGCAGCTGATGAGAACCTGTGAAATAGAATGATATCATTTTATACTGCAAATTTCGTCTTCCTTTCTTTATCGAAACTTATCAAGGGAACCAGTTGTATGAAGAATAAAGAAAGGTTGAAAACAGAGATAATCAACAGAAATATAAGGCAAATGAATACTAATATGGAAGCATGATAGTTTTATTGGATATGATAAATAACAAATAATGAATGCATCTGCAGCAGCCATTGACAACAATTTTGAACCATATCAATAATTGTCTCTGGCCTTCATTGGCTGTCACCATCGCGAGGACCCCAACCAGGAAGTCTACACCTCCCTATGTGGCTGAACCGGCTCAAACTAAATGCAGTGGATTTCACTGACTGTTGAAGCTATGTTTTGGCTTGACCACCACTAGCTCTTTTTCAACTTGATCCATCCTATGTCAGCTAACATTGCCCATTGTTGAGAAAGGCAGTGGCTAGGGATGCGTGCGTATCACATGTCCTAACCATCTCAATCGATGCAGCTGCTTCACAACCTCGTGGATTGATTTTTACCTCTCACTAACCTAGCACTCGACCGAAGCCTAACCTCATTATTGCTTACTCTATTATTATACTTCCATCTAACACTGGAGATATAACGCAGACACCTATGATCAAAGACAGCTAGTCGGCCTATTCATGTCTTCTACTTCCACTGATTATGTCTCACAGCTGGCCATAAAGGAGGACATAGCGAACTTTTGACCAGGTATGTGGAAAATTGCGAAGAAAGCTACAATTAGTAGGACTCTATATGAAGGGAGTTATCAAGTTCTGTGAATACACTGACATGATTATGAGCAACTCGAGAGGTCATCCAGTTAATAATACTGTTCCACTCTGTGGTGTACAACAAATAAATTCATCTAACATGGAATTACAGATGTGTTTTGATACTTCCTACAGGTACGGAAAAGTAGTTAATTAGTTTATTCTGAAATGTAAGAGAGAAATGTTATCTAATATACTTGTTTACTTTGACTCCTTCTTCGTACACTCACTTCCCAAATGAAATGTGGTGTAACCTGGTGGAGACCTCGAAAAGAGGACTGGCTACAGGATGAAGTTGCCTGAAGTTCCACTGAGAGGTGGTGATCGGTTGGGTAGACCAGATCGGTTACCAGGATAAATATTCACTGACGACATTAGATGAAGGTCACACACCGAAATCATGAATTGACTCGAGTTAAAATTCACGGGTCATTAGATTCTGGTCCAAGTGGCTGGAATGGTGAGCGAGCTTGACCTTGTAACTTGAAGATCCTGTGTTCAATTCCCAGTGGAGTCGTGAGTGCTTGCCGCTGAAAAGTCCTGGACGATGGCAAAACAACTATCCAGTGCTCCCTCACATGAATCCGTGATTATACCTGGGACAAATCAAATCTCTACAAACTAACTCTTGAAAGGATATGTGTTCTTTATGTGAAGTTATTATTATTATTGTTTCCTTTAATTCCTAGAGGAACATAGGGCTTCAACCCTGCGTCTCCATTGCGTTCGGTTCTCTGCTAGTCTTCACCTGGCTCCATGTCTGCCCACATGCTTTCATCTCCTCTTCACATGACCTCCTCCAAGTCACCCACCCTTGCACTGACGACCAACTCGCCGCTTCCCTTTCGAGTTCCACTCAAGGGCTTGTCTAGGGATGTCACTTGATGGTTTCCTCAGAGTATGACCAGCTAATCCATCTCCATTTCTTCCTGCCTATTTGTTTCACAATCGGTTCCTGCTGAGTTGGTTCACTCCCAGAGATCCCTCCCTGTTGCTGATCTTTTCTGGCCATCTGATCTTGAGTATTGAGCGAAGACAACTGTTAATGAAGGTCTGTAGTTTGTTTGAGATGCTCTTTATGACGCGCCAGGTCTCTGATCCGTATAGTAGCACTGACTGACTTCACATTGGAGTTGAAAATCCGGATCTTATTTTTGATGCTGAGTGGTGTTGACCTCCACACAGAGTGTCTAAAGTCCTGATCCATAAGAAACGGTCATATATATATATATATATCAGTGAGTGATTGTATATATTTCCTGCAAGACTCAAACTCCAGTCGGGAAAATGATTATCAGCGAAATTTTCCTGAATATTCACTTTTTTTCACTGTATATTTCCTATGCATTTCCCAAGACAAACTTTTTACTTCTTCTTCTTTAAATCATCTTATTTCAATCAATAGGCTTCAGAGATTGAACGCCTTTCAGTTTGGTTTAATCCACAAGCACTGCCAGATCTTATTGGTGTCAAGGAGGCTGAAGTGGAAACATGGCTTCGTGAGACATTACGTAAAAAGAGTTGGCGTAGATGGACATCATTGGCCTGGGAATTATGTCCACCTGTAGCTGTTTATATGCCGCAAAGGTAATTAATTAATTAATTAATCGATTAATTGTCTAATGTGTTTTCCTTGTTCCATCATAGATATGCTTGTGTAGTAATGTTGTTTTTTAAATTTTGTTGGTATTAAGGAATGCATTCTACTAATATTTTCCTCTCATTTATCGTCATTAGAAAAAACAATTAGTTTCTTCTTTTTTATAGTATTCGATACGGTAAGAAGACGTAATTCATCGGAATTGTATAGTGTGTATGTGCACAACATTTCTAATAATAATGATAACAATAATAATAATTTTGCTTTATTCCAGAAACAGTACTAGTGGTACAGTGTGGAATTTTCAGCACATATCTACAATATTTGCATCTAATTTTATCAAACATTTAAAAGGAGTATTTCAAAAAAATAAATATAAAGACAACAACAGCAAAAAAAGACAGGAAAAACACAAAAATAATTTTTTTGGTAATGCGAAAAATTTCCAAGAAGTAGAAATAATATCTCAGTATTGGGTAGTGGAAGCTATGATATGTTTATGCGTGGTGACAGTAAAGCTATAATCATACAAGAAGTTATGAAATGATATTTAAGAATATTTATCGCCAAGGTGTTCAGTTAATTCGGTTGAACAACACTAAATAATTTTGATTTGACACTAGTAACTAGTGTGATGCGTCTAGTCCTCTCTTTGGTGCAGACTGAATTCTATCAGTCAGGTTTGCAATGTGGCCACCATTCTAGGTAGCTCGCCATCACGGTGTACATTGTTTGTGATGATATTAGATGGTTGGAGGCAATCGGCAGGAAGCCTTGGACCTAGGTTTCGTGCTAGTTGGCACTCTTCAGCAAGGCGTATCTGCAACCTTGAAGGAACTCATGTCCCTTCAGATACGCCTTGCTGAAGAGTGCCAACTAGCACGAAACCTAGGTCCAAGGCTTCCTGCCGATTGCCTCCAACCATCTAATATCATCGCAAACACTAAATAATCATAAAATAACATTTCAGGGTTCTTTTATTGACAACTCTAATGTGGTGTTTGTAGTGGTAGTGTGAGTAATCCTGCATAATACAAAATTTTAAGATGGTCATAATGGCTTTCACAACCAATGATTGTCAGTTAATATTGCCGAACAAAAAACAACCACAGAACTAATATTACATGATGGTTAATGACAGGACAATTTTGTAATACTCATAGTGCTAATATAGTCGGAACCAGTAGATACACAAAAGAAGGAATACGGTAAAGTACAAAAAGTAAGCCAATGTTAATAATTTAGGTAGCTAAGTATGTTTAAGAAGGAGTTCACTAAAGAATACAAAATAAGAGGGAAATAAAAGAGCCTAAAATTATGTTATTAACAACAAAGCAAGTCATAGGTTTCACGCTTAACATTGTCTGTCACTTAGAACACAGGCCAAATATGGTATTGTTGAGTTCCTGTACTTGGTTGTATGAGCATAGATTATTTTATACTGATTTCTGGTTCTACTTGATGAGATACAAAGCGAGAGTTGGGAATAGTGAGGGTGTTGGGGGTCGGAGTGTATGCTTTTAGACCATTTTTCGCATGTATTCAGATGCCTATCAACTAATGTAGTGACGAGCTGACTGAGTTTTACACCACTAGTCCTACTAACTACCTTCAACATCCTTCTAAGGATGGAATAGCCCTTTTTCAGTAGACCAGGAAAGACTGACGGGGAGCAGTAAAGTAGAATAGGTAAGATACGAGAGTTGAAAAATTGACAATGATCTGATCACTTGTCATAAGGATTCATTAGAACATGATATATTAGCAACCAAAATTGGTTTACAGGGATTTGATTGGTTTCAAGGTTTCATTATGAGCTGAAATCAGTAACACAAGTATTGAAATACCAGCGGGGAGTACTGGACAGTTGTTTCTCTAGTTCTAGTCTGGGACTCTTCAACAGTACCTAACCCACTGGGCTTTCAACCCAGGATCTCCCGCCTACAAGGCGAGCTCATAGACCATTCAGCAGCCACTGGGACTCGATCCAATGACCAATCCATGAAATCCAACTTCTTGCGAGTTCACGATATAGCGTGACTAAGAGCCAATGTCAAGCCGCTGGCGAGTATTTGTCCTCACAGCCGACCTGCTGTACTCCACACTGGTCATGACTTCTCACTTCTCAGCTCATAATGAAATCCTGAAAAACAACACTTGAATACCAGCCTGATGCTCGCTAGCAACTAACCTTTTTCAGGTAGGTAGTCACCTGGGTCCGAGTGGTAAGTTCAAAGAAGTTGCCAACCAATGAAAGTTCACCATACAAAGTTCCATACAAAGAAGGAACCTCAGAAGCCTTACGCAGAATTCTTAACAAGGCAGCAATAAAAGTGACTGGCATTCAAACCCACAAACTCAATTAGAAACAATCTTTGTCGGTTAAAGGATCAGTCCTGTGGAGCCTTTAAAACAAAACAATTTAGTTTATCTGATACCCTGTCTGAAATGATTGTCAGGTCAAATACATAGGTCAAACTAGTAGAACAAAGTCAGTCAGACTAGTGGAGCATAAAAACCTAGCAAAATCTAGATTGGTTGATCCAAATAAGATAAGAAATCTAGAGAATAGTTCAGCTATAGCACTACATGCAGTTACAAACAACCATACAATAGGATGGGATAGGATGACATTTTTAAAATCTAATGTCACAGGGTCGAGGGAGAGATGGATGACAGAAGCTTTGTTTATCGAATCAACTGAGAGGGAATACGTGTAATAGGAATGATTCATCACCTGTCCCCGATATCTGGAAAATTCTACTACTCAAACGACGACAAATAGGAGAAGACAAAGAAGACTATAAAACTCAAGTTTCGAAGTCGTGTGATCACAGTTGATATGATTATGAACAATAAATTTTGTTCGAAACGTCATCTAGTAAATAATACTGTTTCACTGTGTGATACATCTAATAAACAAACTAATATGGAATTACTTACCACCACAGTGCCCAATTTTTACACATATATTACAATGAAAGTTCAGCCTTCAGAGAAGGTGGGAAATATAAAAGTTGCCATGAATGAGTGGTAACCGCAAAATGAAGTTGTTTTACTTTTATAAGCTAAAGTCAGATAAAGCATTCAGCGGGTTTATAACGTTGTGAATAAGGAAAAATTATGTGTTAAGTAGTAGTCAATATATTTTTGACATTTTAAGTCATTTGTTTAATCTTTGTGTATCTGTACCTAAATGTGAAGATGTTATCTAGAAAAGGACAATGAAAGCTTCGCTGCTGAACCACCTAGCCCAGAGAACGCACCCATATCAAAATCGCGGTTAAGAGTTAAAAGGGGGGTGTTTTTACGTTAAAAAATAATTTCAGAATTGTGGATACAACAATCCCTAGGATCTATGTGAAGTGATTTAAGCCAAGAAAAATGGTTAGAAGCGTAATGAAAATCTCAGGACAGAAGGAAGTTTATCATATTACTGGCAGTTGCATATATATTGCAGGGTTGTGTGATTACAAAAATCTCAAAACAGTGATTTAGATGTTAGAGAGTGCTTTCAAAATCAGCACTTGGTGTCCACCTTTCTGGTTCTCAATATAATGACTATATTAGTAACTGAACTAACTAATTTTGTGAACTTTTTTATTTTTATGAAGACGAAGTCAGAGCAAATATCACAGACAATCATTTTCAGGCGGCCATTCAGATTAAATCAGACTGAATCTGATGAAAAACAGAACATATTCAAGGGGGAATGTTTAAATAAGTGTACGAATATAGAAAAGATTACCTTTCTTTGGAATGCTGCAAAAACAACCCCCAGTATCTCATACATAGGACGGTTGTATCAGGTTAGGATGATAACCCTCTCTCGATATAGAGTTAGCGTTAGGTCACTATTAGATTATAGTCTTCGATGGTTTATGGGTAGAATGCTCTCCATTTACTCGCGTGTTCCAGGTGAGGTTCCTGGCCAATATACTCTTAAGCCCCACCCACCCAGCACACAGTGAGCCTGGAAAACAGGGCAGATTGTGCTTGAGACTTACAGCCCCATAAAACAGCACTTGAATTTCAAAAGATGAAGTCACATGTCCCTCTCGAAACGTAAAGGGATGATGGGAAATGTGTTAAGTTATGATTAGATTTAGGTTTGGGTAAGATTTTGGATTAGGAACTATTGGATAGGTTAGCTTTCAGTTTTAGGAGCTTTTCCTGGTGGAATATTTCCCAACATTTTTGATCTGCATCCATTATTAATAATCGCCTTGTTACCTGGGCATTCTTTTACTTGATTCAAGATTATTTAACTTCTCCACTTGTACAACGGTATCTTGAAGAAAAAACTAATTGTTTTATTTTGCTTTTTCCTTTTCACTTCAGATTTACTGGTTCAGATGAATTACGTCGTGAAATCTCACTCCTTGTCACTGCTAATCCACAACATGTTACACATGTACCTGCTGCTTTACAATATCTAGCTACTTCTAGTAATATTGAAGAAGGACGTACAGAGGTAAATGAAAACACTTTGCGTATATTTTGTTTAGCGAAATTATTTAAACTACTTATGTGATCATGAGTAATATACCTGAATACACTAAATTTGTCAGTATAGACTTTTAAGTGAAATTATTATTTATTATTATTATTATTATTTATTATTATTTCCTTTAGTTCCTAGAGGAACATAGGGCTTCAGCCGTGCGTCTCCATTGCGTTCGGTTCTCTGCTAGAGTCTTCACCTGGCTCCAGGTCTGCCCACATGCTTTCATCTCCTCTTCACATGATCTCCTCCAGGTCACCCTTGCACTGACGACTAACTCGCCGCTTCCCTTTCGGGTTCCACTCGAGCAATGGCTTGTCTAGTGATGTCACTTGATGGTTTCCTCAGAGTGTGGCCAATCCATCTCCATTTCTTCCTGCCTGTTTGTTTCACAATCGGTTCCTGCTGGGTTGGTTCGCTCATTGCCAGAGATACCTCCCTGTTGCTGATCTTTACTGGCCAGCCATCTGATCTTGAGTATTGAGCGAAAACAACTGTTAATGAAGGTCTGTAGTTTGTTTGAGATGCTCTTGATGGCGCGCCAAGTCTCTGATCCGTATAGTGAGTAGCACTGACTTCACATTGGAGTTGAAATCCGGATCTTATTTTTGATGCTGATTGCTGTTGACCTCCACACAGACTTGAGAGTAGTGAAAGCTTGTTTTGCCTTTCCGATTCTTGCTTTGAAATCCCCGTCAGTTCCGCCTGTAGTTGAAACGATGCTTCCCAGTTGGGTAGGTAAAGGAGGTTGTTTCTTTCAGGTTCCTCCCATTTGTGCTGATTGTTGTCAGTTGTTGTTGTTGCTGCTGTTGGTGTTGGCCAGGAATCTTCATCACATCTGTTTTATCTATGTTCGCCTGAAGGCTTTTCTTTGATGATTCTTCTGCCGACTTGTTGCTTTTCACTTGCATATCTTCCAGTTTGTGGGAAATCAGACATATATCATCGGCGAAGTCCAGATCCTCCAAGTTTTTTTTCTGTGAGTCCATTTTATGCCTGTTTCCTCATTGCCCGCTGTTTGTCGCATTATCCAATCTACTGCAATCAGGAAAATCATTGGCGATAGTAGGCAACCCTGTCTTACTCCTGTCTTCACTTCGAAGGATTCCGTGAGTGACATTAAGTGACATTATAGGAGTAATATGGTGTTCATGCATTGTATTGAGTTTCGGCAATTTAAGAATACATAATTCCGAAATTAACACCTAACTGTTTTGTCTACAAATAATAGTGTTTTTAATAACACTTTTATCGCATTTGTTTTTGTGTACTGTCCATTTATTTTGTCTGATTAAAAATACCTATTAAAAATTTTTTTTCAAAAGAATGGTTACTGAGCAAATAATATTCTTTTCGATAACTTCATTATCAGGTTCCACAGTTATACATACATAATAGTGAATGAACTGTTGTTATTAACAACATTAACGCTGTTTAGATAATATCGAGTGAATAATAATAATATCAATGGAATACAGTTCTCGATAGCATCAACATAACGACTACACACTGAATATCAGAAAAATTAGGAAAGATAATATTACCAATTTATGAATGTATAGTTGCCTCTTCTGCATACAGAGCACCAGTTGTTTAAGGCGAATCGCGATAATCTCCGCTGCTTTAAGTATGCGGTACCTGGATATTTTTGGCAATTTATCAGGCACCCGGTAGATTATAGAGAAGGATTTTTCCACGCTGGCTTTGTGGCCGGTTTGCACCAGATGGTTCAATATCGAACTGTTAATGGTTTTAACTACACCTTTACTTAGCCATAATGGGAGATGTTCTCGAGCACAAAAAATCAAGTTCCTAGAGCAACGGTCAATATAACTTGCCCCACAAGTGCAGTTGAATTGGTAGATACAACTAGAGCTGGTTAATCTGAGTACATCTTTCAATCGAAGAGTCATCATTGGTCGTATAGAAATTAAGCGTGTAGTTTGCCAGCATTTAAAGTTCTTTGAATAAATTGTTTCACTAGGCGCGTCACCCTTGAATTGCAGTCGTATTTATAAAGGCTTCTTATTTATTTTGTGTTTTTACAGTTGTCTCATGTATTGACATGGTCACCTGTTGCCCCAGTAGTTGCCCTATCCTTCTTCTCACGTATGTATCCTCAACATCCATTGACACATCAATATGCTGTCCGTGTGTTGGCTGATTATCCACCGGATACTATGTTGTTTTATGTACCTCAATTTGTTCAAGGAATACGTTATGATAAAGTAAGCAATTTTTTTCTTTTGGTGCATTTTCTCTCCTTTGAACAGATATCTTGATATTGTTGGTAGTTACTTGTTTGGTTGGTGGTGACTATCTGTAGTGTCAACTACGCGCATTCCATCTTGTTTAGGGCTTTCCAACTGGATTTACTTCCTCCCCAGAGTGGTGGTGTTCTCACTGAGACTGGAAATCAACAACTATTGCCTTAACTACTAACGTACTGTCATCAACAAACAAGTAACTCTGAGAATCATTCTAAGTTTATGGATTTCGGGAGTTTTTTTGTTGGGTAAACGTTTTTTGTTAAAAAAAACCCATTTGCTGAGATGTAAATTCAACTGGAAATGCACCTCAATAACTACACCTGAGTTTATAAGAATAGAACTTGTGCACTGTGGTAGAGTATAATTCCATCGTGAAAAAAAAATAATTTTGATAAAGTCTCACAGTGTTATACAGTGATATTTACTGATGACCACGTTTCGAGCACAACTTATTACCCATAATCGTATCAGGGCACTACTCACACAACTTTCTAACTTCGTTTATATAATTCCATCATTATTTTTCATCGCTTCACTTGATTGGTAGTAGTATTTTCCATATTTCTGGTATGAGTGATGAGTCATTGCTATTGCACGTGTGTTGGGTGTAAACTCGATGAAATAGGATCCAGTAATCAATCTCTTTCTCTTTCCACCTACCTATATTACTTCTTAGAATTTAAACCCTTTCCCACCCGTCCTATTGTGTGATTGTGTGTTAATGCATGCAGTGAAATCGCTAAGCTTTTTTCTAAATTACTTATCTTCGCAGGGTCAATCATTCTAACCTTCGCTAAATTCTTATGTTCTGATAATCTCACTACTGATCTACTAGTTTGACCTATGTAGCTGACTTAACTCACAGTCATTGCAAGGTATTTTGTAAATTATATTATTTTGTTTAATTGGATCAACAGGGTCCTAGTAGATCGGGGGTAGTCAGATTATCAGAACATAAGAATTTAGCGAAGGTTAGAATGATTGACCCTGCGAAGATAAGTAATTTAGAAAAAAGCTTAGCGATTTCACTGCATGCATTAACACACAATCACACAATAGGACGGGTGGGAAAGGGTTTAAATTCTAAGAAGTAATATAGGTAGGTGGAAAGAGAAAGAGATTGATTACTGGATCCTATTTCATCGAGTTTACACCCAACACGTGCAATAGGAATGACTCATCACTCATACCAGAAATATGGAAAATACTACTACCAATCAAGTGAAGCGATGAAAAATAATGATGGAATTCTATAAACGAAGTTAGAAAGTCGTGTGAGTACCTTTTTAAATGATTATGAGCAATAAGTTGTGCTCGAAACGTGGTCATCAGTAAATATTACACTGTATAACATTGTGAGACTTTATCAAAATTAATTTTATCCTCAATGAGCCTGCGTTTTTACATATGGACTGGCGATACTACTACTACTACTACCAGGGTGCACAATCCCCTTGAATCTTCAAAGTTTTGGGCGATTTGGAAATGTATTACTTAAGCAGAACTCCTATTTTTCGTAATCAACAATATTAACCTCCTCAACAATGGGCAATGTTAGCTGACTAACGTAGAATGAGATTGGAAAAGAGCTAGTAGTGGTCAAACCAAACCATGTATTTTCCAGTCAATTAAATCTACAACAGTTAGTTTAAGCCAGCCACATAGGGAAGTGTAGACTTCCTTACTGGTTGGGATAGATCCTCGGGATGCTTACAACCAACCAATGATGGCAGCTGGAGGCAATTGGTGATGCAGCTCAAAGTGATCGTTCTCAATGGCTGGCTCAAATGCATTCACTCTTTATGAATTATAATACTCCCATAAAATTCCATTATTATTCCATATTACTATTCCTTTTCCCTCACACACACTCCTGTTTATTATCTCTCTTCTGTTGAGTCTGTCTTTACTCTCTTCTCTTTTCTTGTTTGTTACTTGGGGGGGGGGGAGGCGGTGAGTGGGACTCGAACTGTTGCATACCTGTTGAAAGCTTTTACGTTGAATGCAGTCAGTCAGCTGAATTTTCACATTTCCACGCTCATTTTTATGAGAGAACATCTCTACTGGAGCAAAAGTGATACCATAGGACTAACGTGGTAGAAGTTATGAGCACATGGTCATGCGGAAGCGGTGGCTACCTTCAGAATAAAAAAGTAGACAGCCTTTTTCAATATATGATGAAATAGTCCTTTTTCTTAATCTTTTATTGAACATACAAGTATACAAATAATTGTTGTTTATTGTGCTTTTCTTCCTTACTTATCAGTTGGGTTATTTATCCGAGTCAATAGTCACTTCAGCGAAACGTTCACCATTACTAGCGCATCAATTGTTATGGAATATGAAAACTAATATATACCGTGATGAAGAAGGAGTGAAATTCGACAATGAAATCGGCAATCACCTCCTTGCATTAACTAGTACTATACAACGTAATTTCAATGGATCAACATTAGCCTTTTATCAGAGGGAATTTGAATTTTTCGATCAAATCACATCAGTTTCAGCTAAAATTAGGTAAGTTTACTATTATTATTATTGATTTCAAAAGATTGATGATTATTGGGGAGCAAAGTATACATGTAATTCTGTTTTCGACAACCTCTTCTTCATATCAGGTTCTACACAGTTATATATCCATCCATTAAAATAATAATATGAAAGAGTTATTGTTTTGAGTGACAACATTAATGGACTTTTTTTCTATAGAAAAGTAACATCGAATCATCGACATCAGAATTCGAAAAGTCACTTGCAAATAGATTATATATTATATATATTTTCAAGAATTATTTTGTTAGAGTGAATGAACATAGACTATGCACGAAACGTCCACCTAGAAATGAAGTAGAACTAAAAAGTCTAGAAAAAAGATCGGCTATAGCAATGCATGCTATAGACAGCGGACATTGATTGATTGATTTCGACAATGTCGAAATTCTTGGAAGAGGCTTTCATTCAACACATAAAGAAAGGTTGACCTCTGGAGCCTTGCACATTTTAACCTCATTGAATGCAGTGAATAGGAAAGAAGGGATAGACTTATCACCTAAATGGCAAACTCTTATGAAGCAAGACATTACAACCTGACTGATAGAATTCAGTCTGCACCAAAGAGAGGACTAGACGCATCACACTAGTTACTAGTGTCAAATCAAAAAAAAAAAATATCCACTACAGTCCTACAGGAGGTCAATCGCGAGCCCGAATAGCTCAGTGGTAACGTCTCTGACTGCAGCACTGGGTGACGCGGGTTCGAATCTCAGAGGGGACATGAGTTTCTTCAAGGTTGCAGATACGCCTTGCTGACGAGTGCCAACTAGCACGAAACCTACGTCCAAGGCTTCCTGCCGATTGCCTCCAACCATCTAATATATGAAAAAATCAATCAGCACTCTATGAGCCTCCATGACCTTTTAAAACATGTAGGATAATGTTTATCACATATGAATTCACATATTTTCCATATGACAAATAACATACATACACTCACACACACACTCATAACCTGTACAAATTAACTATAGAAGAGTGAACACAACAACAACTTGACATTTTTTTATCCTTCACGTTCCCCAGTGAAACATAGGGCTTCAAGCTAGTGGCTTGAAGTTTCTGTAGCAGTGTTTATTTTATAGGATGGGGTTGCTAGCCTCATCCCCAACCTTACCTCTTCACCAGCATTATTTCTGGCTCAGCGAGGTAAAGGAGTGCGTCAGTGGCCGGGGTTCGAACCCCGGGTCATGTGCATGGTTGGCGAGCGTCTTAACCGCTATGCCACCGACGCACTCTGGTGTCTCCTCATTTGCGGATAAATCTTTCGCCTTTTATTCGACATTAGTCATTACAAATATATGTGATGACTGCTTACATATTTTCTATTGGTAAAGCAATGTCCATGGACAAATGACCTTCAAATAAACTGACTTCGATTTATGCCAAAAAAATATGTTTGACTATATATTTTGATGATTAATAAAAATCCAAATAAATCTGCTGAAGAAGCTGTGGCAGCTTACACAGTGAAACGTTCAGAAAACAGATCTTGTTTTGATTTTCTTAACACGCTGGGATTACTTTAAATACTTTATAATGAATCAATCTGACTCGACGCTCAAATTATTCCAGGAAGTTCGTAACACACCTACGGCCTGGAAACCTATAAGTGATTCTATTTGTTCCAGGTGAGACCATGGATTGGCATCAGTTAGAGAACCATTGAAAACCAGCCACAGGGAGTACTACCAGACAGTTGTTTCATCCTGGCTTGGACTCTTCATCAGTATGCACCCACCGCCAGGGCTCGAACCCAGGACCTTTCGGTTACTAGGTGAGCTCGTATACCATTCAGCCACTGACACCAGACTCAATAACCACTGCATGAATTCCAACTTCTACCAATTGGTGATTTTAGCGAGGTCACCAGCCAAAGTTGAAACAAATTAAATTCCTATAGATGAACCCTTGAAAATTAATCTGATGCTCGCTAGTTATTGGCTACAGAGGGAAGGTGCCTGGCGTCCTAGTGAGGAGTCGTGACCACTGGGGTCCATCAAGTGGGGAGTGAGGATGAAGCTCCTGCCGATGACATTGATTGATGGTCTCGCTAATACCATGAATTGGTAGATGCTAGAATTCATGGGCTGACCATTGAATCAGTGTCTTTAACGGTCTACGAGCTCGCCTTGTAACGAAAAGGTCCTGGCTTCCAGTCTGGAGGTAGGTGCACACTGTGAAGGACGAAACAGCTGTCAAGTACTCCTTGCTGGCTTTCCAATCGTTCTCTAATTTTCAAGTATTGGTTTTGTAGGGATTTTGTTTGATTGCATGGAGGATTTCATCATGAGCTGACATCAGTTAGAGAACCACTGGAAAACCTGGGAGTACTGGACACATATTTCGTCCTAGTTTGGGACTCTTCAGCAGTACGCACTCACCGGGATTCGAACCCAGGACCTTCTGGTTACAAAGCGAGCTGGTAGACCATTGAGCCTCTAATTGATGCCAGCTCATGAGGAAATCTTCCAACCAATCAAAAAACACTTACCAACCAATTCTTGAGAATATATAGTTAGTGAATTCTCATGAATCATATTCATATTAAATTCTAGTCACAGTAACTGTAAAACTTTAGATGGATGAATGATCCTGTCAAGGTCGGGGGAGAGAGAAAAAATGTGGGGTAGAAGGTTATGTGCATTGTATGTGTGTCAGTGCGCCTATTATTTAAGAAAACAAAAGGGTTAGTGTATGCAAGTGTAATAAAAAGGGGGTAGGGAGTTTGTATATGCAGGATAGAGGGCCATACATAAAAGGCCGACGCAGTAAGGCATTTAAAACAGTTATTTCCGACAACACAATAAGAAGACGTAGTTTATCTGAAAAGTGTAATGTATTGGCGCAACACATTTCGGACATTCTGATCACACACAGTTTTTATATAATGCAAGAAGGCATGAATAATTACAATACAGGTCAATGTCACAAATAATGGGTAGAGAGACACAAAAGGTGTGGGTAAGAAAGATAAAAGGAGAAAAAAATAAGGCAAAGAAGGGGTTGAAAATATTAGGAACCCGGAAATAAATGTCCAACATGATCTATAGCCAAGCATATGATAGGTTGATTTCAACAGTGCCTTTAAGCCGATATATAAAACAAGGTTGGGCCACATACTTAAATTCATTGAAGCCTTAGCCATTAAAAGACTTAAACCTGTCTTATGTGTGCAAAAATTATTTGTTATCACCTTAAACCTACTTTGGTAATTCAATTTAGAACCAAGGACTAATCTACTTCATAATATTTTCAACTCCTTCTTTGCCTTGTTTTTTTTCTCTTTTTCTCTTTCTTACCCACACCTTTCGTGTCTCCCTACCCATTATTTGTGACCTTGACCTGTGCACAATCTGACCTGTATTGTAATTATTCATGCCTTCTTGCATTATATAAAAACTGTGTATGACAAGTACGTGTGTGATCAGAATGTCCGAAATGTGTTGTGCAAATCCATATTACACGTTTCAGATAAACTACGTCTTCTTATTGTGTTGTCGAAATTCATAAAGGGAACTAATTGCTTTAAACAGTTATTTCCCTTTATAAATTTAGACAATCAATCCATGATCAACTCGTAAAAACAAAACTAATCCTTACAAATCAACTAAAGGAAAGCAATAAGATGTAATTTATCTGAATCATGTAATGTTGTGTTTGCGCAACACATTTCGAACAATCTGATTACACACGGACTTGTCATGGGAATATATATATGAAACTAATCCAGAGTTAAGAGGTGAGAAAATAGACTTTGGTCAAGTTAAAATGACATATTGTGAAGGTCAAAATAACAATGAAGATCATTAAACCAAATAAGGGAGGTATTAGTACATCTACCCTGTCTCGCATCAAAACAAAGTTTACCAAGGCAGGTTTAGTGTAATGACGACTTGTTGCTTTAAACGCATAAAGGTGGTTTAAACTTCCTAACTAGCAGGGCTTCCACAGAATTTATGATACGCCCCGAACACTTTCTATATATAGGTTTGAAAAACATGTAAACATCAATTTTACATAGCGTATCCATAATATGTTTCGCAATAGAAGAGTATAGGTTGTCAGTTCTCACCATTAATGGGTTTCTGAGGATTGTATTTGCTTCTGGAGACATTTAAGAATATGCTCTGAAGGTAGCCCCTTACTTGCAGAGACCTATAAATTCCACAGCAGGCCAAGGTAACAATAGTGACTGGTGGTCGTGTTTCTTTTGCATACGCAATAAATTACTGAAAGCATTCAGCTATCGAATACTCCAAACAGCAGAGGCTATTACGATTCGCTTAAAACAACCGGTGCTATGTGCGCAGGCTCAATCAGTATTGCTGCCTTGGCCTGCTGTGCAGTCTGCAAATTCATACACGCCTTATTACATCAGCCTTTTTGCTAGGACCCTCCATCCTGTCCATATAAATTTCCTTACTCTTCGTTATTTACATTTGCATAAACTAACCTCTTTGTTTTTTCGTTGAAACATATTCATTAAATAACACACTGGCACACAGATAAACAAACACGCAACCTTCTACCGCCATTAAGCCTCTATGTTTTTGATGTTATCATTCATCGATTTTAAGTTTATAATCAATAAGAATAGGATTCAACATGAACATGATTCATGAGAATTCACTAACCATATATTCTTTATCGAGTTTGCTCACGGAGAACCATTGAAAACCAGAAGGGAATACTGGACAGCTATTTCATCCTAATGCTTGAGACTCATCGGCAGTATACACTCACAACCATGGTTCGAACCCAGGACCTTACGGGTACAAGGCAAACTCGAGTACTATTCATCCACTGGGACCCGATGGGATGACCATCCCATGAATTCCAAAATCTATCAATTCGTGATTTTAACACGATCACGACTAATGTTTCTCTAACTGATGTCAATCTGTGGTCAGACTCGAAAAACAAGTCTAATCCTTACAAGAACAACAACAACAGACAACGATCAGCATAAATGGGAGGAACCTCAAAGAAACAACCTCTTTTACCTACCCAACTGGGAAGCATCGTTTCAACTACAGTTGGGCGGAACTGATGAGGACATCAAAGCAACAATCGGAAAAGCAAGACAAGCTTTCACTACTCTCAAGTCTGTGTGGAGGTCAACAGCACTCAGCATCAAAAATAAGATCCAGATTTTCAACTGCAATGTGAAGTCAGTCAGTGCTACTATACGGATCAGAGACTTGCACTGCGCGTCATAAAGAGCATCTCAAACAAACTACAGACCTTCATTAATAGTTGTCTTCGCTCACTACTCAAGATCAGATGGCCAGAAAAGGTCAGCAACAGAGATCTCTGGCAATGAGCGAACCAACCCACCAGGAACCGATTGTGAAACAAATAGGCAGGAAGAAATGGAGGTGGATTGGATTGGCCATACTGTGAGGAAACCATCAAGTGACATCACTAGACAAGCCATTGCTTGAGTGGAACCCGAAAGGGAAGCGGCGAGTTGGTCGTCAGTGCAAGAGTGACTTGGAGGAGGTCATGTGAAGGGGAGATGAAAACGTGTGGGCAGGCTTGGAGTCAGGTGAAGACTCTAGCAGAGAACCGAACGCAGTGGAGAAACTCCACTAGGAATTAAATGAAACAATAATAATAATAATCCTTACAAACCAACTCTTGAGAACTATATATTCGTTGTTATTCATAATTGTTTACTCTGGTGTTCAATTCAGGCCAGGCAACAGATCGTTTATTACGGAAAATCAACACGTATTTATAGATTTTGATGTACATTATTGTAGGTTAATGTTAGTAGAAAATACAGTCTGTTGATTGGTTGTTTCTCACACAAAGTTAACCTTGCATCTCTTGTGGCTGTGTCAGTTCATCTATATGTTAACTGTATCCGCCTGTCCATCTTGACCTTGACCTCAATTACTGTCAACCAATTTGGCTAGCAACCATCTCTCACCACACTCGTTCCCCCGTCAAAGACTTGCGACTGAAGTTGGTTCGGTCTTCTCGGTTTTTGGGGCTTTGCTCTTTTGTGTTGCTGTCTGAAATCTCGGCGCTTGCGGATGTCCACTTGTTTCTCTGTGTTTATCATTGCGATTGTGTCTGCGTAACCCCATCTCAACGTGACCATATATGGTCCTTCCCACTTTGGAGATTGTTTACCTGACCCTGTCGCACATTCGTAGGTATTTCGCCTCACTCTTCCATATGCTGCTTTCTCCCGACCTCCCAGCAGCGTCCCAAGTAACAGCCTCATCGCGAACAGATCTGGAATGCCACTCAACTGCGCAGAAGCCTCGAAGTCCTGCTCGAAGATCCATATGTCTCCATCGAAAGCTGCAGGGCACAGGCTCTCCATTTGTCGGTAGGCAGCGACACCAAATGTAACAACAGAATGCAAGTGCCAGGCAACATATCGTTTATTACGAAAAATCAACACGTATTTATAGATTTTGATGTACATTATTGTAGGTTAATGTTAGTAGAAAATACAGTCTGTTGATTGGTTGTTTCTCACACAAAGTTAACCTTGCATCTCTTGTGGCTGTGTTAGTTCATCTATATGTTAACTGTATCCGCCTGTCCATCTTGACCTTGACCTCAATTACTGTCAACCAATTTGGCTAGCAACCATCTCTCACCACATTACAATTATGCATATTGCCACATACACAAGTGTTTGAAACTACAATCTATTTGTAACTAACTTTTAGAATTCTGATGTCAATGATTCAAAGGTACTTTTTGTTAAAAACAGTCCATTAATGTTGTCAATCAGAACAATAATCTTTTCATATTATTATTATGGATGGATATATAACTGTGTAGAACCTGATATGGAAAAGAGGTTATTGACACCAGAATATATCTTGTTTCCCGGTAATCAATTTTTTGAGGTTTCCAATGGGCGCCCTTAATCAAGTTTACTACTGTTCTCAAATTATATTATTTAAATGTATTCTTGATAACTTTGTGTTGCGTCACAATGATTCTGTCTTTAAGTGTGATGCGAGATCGTTTGGTTATAATCGCTACCAAAAAACCAGTAGAAGCCTGTAGCGTCTAGCGACTTCAGCACACTAGGTGGAGGGAGGGAGACACAGTCTCGATTCTCTGTGGGGGAAGATTCATTCCCGCGAGTTGACAAATATAGCTCAGCAAACATTCAGTCCTACCCCAAAGATACGGTGAATATATCATATAGATGACACTATCACAGTCTGAAAAATAGGAAATATCTTCAAGTTTTAGTTTGCACTGGTTTGATTGGTTACAGGATTTCATCATGAGCTGACATCAGTTAGAGAAACCTTGAAAAACCAGCAGGGAGTACTGGACATCTGTTCCCCGAGTCCTAGTTTGAGACTCTTCAGCAGTACACATCCACCACAAGGGTTCGATCCTAGGATCTTCCGGCTGACAAGTCGAGCTCATAGACCATTCAGACACTGGGACTCGGTCCAGTGACCAGCGCATGAATTCCAACTTCTGCTAATTGACGATATAGCGCGACCAATGGCCAATGTCATCGCTAGCGAGTATTTATCCTCACAGCCGACCTGCTCTAGCCTACTGGTCACAACTTCCCACTAGAACCCCAGCTAACTACCTAACTACGTGAATAGGAGCATTTGCTAATGAGCATTAGATTAGTTGATTGGAAGAAACAGCTATGCAGTACTCCCAGGTTCTCCAATAGTTTTCTAACCGATATCAGTTCATGGGAAGAGGAGGAGGACGGGGAAGAATAAAATTTACGCTTGACCTAGAAAATGGACATTAGAGAATTAGATATATTAAATTATAAAGTCGAAACGAAGAGAATAAGAAGAAATAGGTAAATTATAGACACCAGTGTGTTTATTTTTTTTGTTAAATGTCAACTCATTCACTCACCACATAGTGGATATATATTTATGACTTTAACTTATCTCATCGGTTATCTGTGAAAGATAAGCTTAGTTAACTGCCTAACTAACCAACTAACCAACCGAGCGAAAAGTCTAAGTAACAGATATTGAAGAAAACGAAGCTTTGGTGTTCTGTGAATAAGGCTCATTAGTGAAGATCAAAACATCTCACATGAAAAAAATATTAGTGAAACTATTCGACCACAACATACATAAAGAAGAGGGAATTTATGATATCTACAATAGTGCTTACCGTATAAGAAAGTAACAGCTGAAAGCCTACATAGAATTCTTGGTCAAGCGGGAATTATAGAGTGAAATTTAAAACCTCAAACTCATTCAAGGATAAACGCCTGTAGGCTAGAAGACAAATTAATTTTATTGTATAGGAAATCCTTGCAGTGATTCTAAGGTCAACTGCATAGGTCAGACTGCGACTCTGACTCTTCATCCAATGTAGGGAGGGCGTGATGAAATAGATTCGTCAGCTTCACCGCCAACACTAACGCGTCTCCATCAGGTTCCGGCTTCGCGGCACCACCACCAGTTGTCCAACCTCTTTATCACTTGACCGCTCCACACTATTGTACACCACCTTTGCTCGATCTCTGAGCAGTGTTCCCAGCACAACTGATTTCGCTGTCAGATCCTTGACACCGAGCAACTCAGCGACAGCATCGAAGTCCCGCAAAGATTTCCACCACGGGGTATTCATTGTTTGGAGGCAACGAAATGTAACCAAATATTTTTTGATTATAGCTTGATTCCACACAGTATTTTTGGTACAAGTATGGAATTTTCAGCATGTGGTCAGCATGCAGGCTGACCATTGATATCAGGTGTGCGTTGGCAACGGATTGAAGCGCAGACCTATCTCTCGACTATTTGATATTTTTGTGTCAATGAATGCCTCTCTATATACTACTGATAAATCTCGTCAGTAGCACACCTCACCAGACCAATATATCGGGTTTAATTAGGTTATGGGAACATACAGATATATCTAAATGTAAGATAATTGACGTAGGGAAGAAACTCCTTGACGTAATGATAGAGAGTCAGGTGCTTACGGCAGTGGACCGCATCTCGCCACAGCTAAATACCTCATATTTGCCAATATTGAAGGACTTAAATCTATTTGTCTTCGATTTTAAGTCGGATCATTGAACTGTTTCCCACTAGTTTGTCAATTTTCAGCAGTATCCACCCATGACTTCACCAACGATCAGATCTAGGACCTTGAGGTTACCAGGAGAAGAACCGCCCCCGCCTTGTCTTCGACTTATTATTGCCCGTGAATCAAATCAAATCCAATCCATTAAAAATTATTTGTTCTCTCTGCTCTTCGTCTTTTCTTTGTTTCTTTTTTTAAGTAAAATCAAACAGCCACCTATTTTCTCTGTTTATTATTGTGTTTTCTTTTTTTTGTTTTTATTTTGTTTAGACCATTCCCTAAAGGTGAAGCACGTAAAAAAGCCTGTCTAGATGCTTTACGTGAAGTGAATGTCAAACCTGGTTGTTATTTACCATCGAATCCTGATTCAGTTGTCCTAGAGATTGATTATATGTCTGGGACACCGATGCAGTCTGCAGCTAAAGCACCATTTTTAGCCAGATTTAAAGTACGTCCACCTGTTTATCTTTGTAATTGTATTCAAGCGTCATTTTCCTGCGAATTTTGAGGTTAATAAACACACTTCACATTTATTAGTTGTATTAGTCTACTTGTGCATTAGTTACTACAACATTCTAGATGACTTTCCTGACGTGTACTGATTTAGGACTTCTGGAATGGTGAGGCTCGTCAAGTTCGATACGAGGACAGATATCCAATGGATTGGTGATGGCACTATATCTCAAGTTGACAGAAAGACAGTGTCTGACTAGTGATGGATCAACCTGGCAACATGAGTTTTCTGCGTTCAACCCTTTGTTGTAGGGTCGTACGTGTTCACTACCAGAGATTCTGGAACTAGTGCGCTACAGCTATCCGGTATTCCTCGGTTTCCAATAGTCCTCTATGTGATATCAGGTCGTTGTAAACATGTAATGTGTAAAGTCTTGGACAACAGCAGAATTTTAACTTCAGTCTTTTGTGTTTTTTATTGGCTCGGCTCAGTAGTGTCTGAACTTCAAAAGCTCAGCTGCTAAAAATGTAAAAGAATGCGCATGGAAATCAAGTTTAGAGATATGGTGATGGTGGGTATGATTGGGAATTCCGGCAGTGCCATCAGCTGTCACATACAATAAGTGTATCTCATAGTTCGTTACATAGTTCCAACATATCAGTTAACCATGTTTATCAAGTTGGAAACGGTATTTGAATAATACGATGAAGTATTTTGGAAATCAAATGTTATCAAGTAAAGCATTGAAACGAGGAGAAATGGGACCCAGATCTGACAGAGAGAATTAAAAGCCACGTCCCACTAGAATTCCATGCTTATTATCATTCTGTAAACAAGAAAATAGCATGCGAAAACTTAGTGTCATTTTACTTATTAATTATATTGCACGCCAGATCAACAAATTTCAATCGGTATTGGAGATGTGACAGATAAACAAATTTACCTTGCTGACAGTGATCACATTCAATTCATTTCCGCAGCAGATAGGTGGCCTGTGACTGTAGCGCCAAGAAGTCCTGGTTCAAATCACCAAGAGTAAGATTATTTCTCATAAAGTCTTAGGTGCCTACAAGTACAATACACAAATAGATCAGACCTAACTTCTTGCCAAACTATCCCCCCTCGTCTAATATTTTATTCAATCCAGCTCATTATTTTCCTTGTCACTTAATTCCATATTTTATTTTTCTAGGTTCGTCGTGTCGGTGTACAAAATTTGGAGGCTGAAGCTATAGCCGCGGCCTCTGAAGCACAATATCCTGCAGCAGTGACAAGTACCACTGATCAATCACATCAGCATCATCGTGATTCAGTGGATGGATTCAATTCAGTTGTGTAAGTTGTATGTATGAATGACTTTATTGCTTACTCTCAGTCTGATTGTATCACCCACTACAGCTACTACTTATATTTTCAACTTTGTGGCTGATTTCCATTAAAAAGAGCCATTGTAAATAAGGGAATACTGGACAACTGTTGCATCCTAGTTGTGCACTCTTCGACAGTGCGCTATCGGATTCCGTCTCAGTGGCTTAGTAGTCAATTGACTAGCTCTCGTAACCTGAATGTCCTACGTTTCGATTCCCGATGGGATCACAGATTCGTACTGTTGAAGAGTCCCAAGCTAGGACGAAACACTTATGCAAAACTTGTGTAGTACTCACTGGTTCTCTAACGGAAGTCAGTTCGTGATCGAATTTCAAAGTCACTCACACGCTCCTGCAAAACTAAACTATTTACTGCTAAGCGAAATATATTCACCTCTTGATATCAAAAAGACTTAGTTAGTTAGCGTCAATTTTAAGTGCAGGTGTGTTGATGACATAGTAAATCTCCATTTACCTGTACTCAGTGACGTTTCCAGTAGTATGCTTACAAACCACCACCATTTGTCCACCTGTCAGCGTGCTATGTCAACGAAATAACCTTACCAAGACTCATGTATCATATCACTGATCTGAGTAACTACAGTGTAGGTTATCTAACTGGCAAACAGTATCCAGAGTGACTTCGATAGATTCTGTACTGTTCATATAGGCAAAGTAGAAGTGTTTCTCTAGAAGTTCTAGGCAGACTGAAGGTGAAACTGAAGCTTGAGGAATTAGCTAAAAGTATGTTTTTTTTTAATGTTAATATCACAAAATAAGATAATGTTTACAGTTACAATAGGTTGAATGGGAATCGTATTTGGGGTATAGAGCAAGAGGAAATCTCTCAGTAAACCAACCAAGAGCCTACTGCCAGAAAAGAATACGCAGAAAGAAGTGAGTATGGATCTGGCATACACTGAGAAGACTGTTGTGCAATATCACAAGCCTGGCACTCGAACGGAACATGAGTGACAAACGATGAGTTGGGTGTGGATCGGAGGGTGAATTGGAGGAGATCGTGAAAGAGGTGGAAATAGTGGCTTATAGCTAATCGTGAAGCCAGATCAAAAAGACTGCAGAAAACAGAGTGAAGTGACGATGTGCTGCTCAATTCCTGTGTTGGACTTATAACCCAAGGGATGAATCATAGTAATACAATTTGGCAGATAGGATAAAGGCCTTGCGAGCTGAACAGACTAGAAGTGAACTTTTTAAACACATATGAATATGTTCAGAAAGTCTTCTTAGTTATTGCTTCCGCTACAATGTAGTACGGAACAGTATGTGTTCATTATTCTTGCACCTTCATAGCTGTTAAACGCGCCACTATTGAGGTGCTGATTAGTTAGGTAGTTAGTTAGTTATAGGACGACATTTGAATTCCAGACTCATTGACTGGAGCTTAGTACAGCGAAATCGCCACAAAGTTTTCACTGACATTGTGGCGGTTTGTCTTTCTGTCTGGTTTCAACATAGAAATTTTCACCGGTGTACAGCAGTTCGAGTCGCCACACTTCACACAGCACACGAAGCCAGAGAAGAAAGTAAAAAAACGCAAAATAGAGATAGTAAACAGAAATATGAGGCAAAAAGAATGGTAATATCGAAGAACAATATAGTTTTGTTGGGTATTATAGGTTACAAGGAGTGGATGCATCTGCAACAGCCAATTGTCTCACCAATTGTCTCCAACCGCCATTGGTTTTTACCGTCCCGAGGACCCCAACCAGTCAGCCAGCCAGTCTACATCTTCATATGTGGCTGCATTAAGCTAACTGTTGTGGATTTCATTGATTGATGAAACCATGTTTTGGTTTGACCACCACTAGCTCTTTTCCACCCTGACCCTATGTCAGCTAACATTGAACGCCGAGGAAGGCGATGGCTAGGCGTGCATGCGTAACACATATCCTAACCATCTCAATCGATGCAGCTGCTTCACAACCTCGTCTATTGATTTCCCCTCCTTACCTAGCACTTGACCGAAGCCTAACCTCAATATTGCTCACCCTATTATATACCATTTCACACGGGATGGTAATATATGAAGAGACGTTCATCGCAATAAAAGCACCAAATAGCAGGGAGATAGATTTTGATGTCAGAGTAAGCAAATGATACAGCGTTTTGGAGATACATAGGAGGCGTGAAAGGAATACAGATCAATACAGTATAAAGGCCAGGAGTACTAGCACAACACAAAAAATCTGTGCAAGTGTTGCGTTGTGAAGGTAAGGTGTACATAATTTGGCTATATACAGGAGATACCAAATTGCAAATAAACATTCCTTAACCAAGTCTCTCATCTTCTACCGGCCTTCATCTAACTAAATTATGCAATTTTCATGAATATGGCAAATCTTAGTAACTGTCCCCATAAAAGTGATTTAAATTAACATAAGAGCCAAGATACTCCCAGAAATGGGTAGCAGAATAAATTTATTTTCTCCCTGAAGTCATTCGATTCGACATTGTAGAGTTTATATTCTTGGAGAATCTCAAGACACGAAAACACCCTCAAAAGCAACCTCTACTTATTATTTAAGTTGTATTCGAAATAAAGGCAGTTTTATATTCAAGTTTTCTTTTTGTTGTTGTTGGATGAATTCAGTTCCTGGTAATTTGTATACGATTTCTTTACCTCGCATTTTTTTACTTTACTACCATTTTCACGATAAACAGGAAAATGTTTTCACAAGCAGGCATAAAATCACGACGACGTAATAGCCATCAAGAAAACCCGTCGAATAGTCCAAGTAGACAAGCCTTGTCTACAACTGTTTCCGGTAAACATGGTACGGTCGGTTCACGTGTCAAATCACGGCAGCCTGTCACTGGAGGTAGTCAAGGTACAAGTAATCAACTAGCCTCTGATGATAAACAGCCAACTACATCAAAATTAGGTCATGTATTTATGCAAGCGTGTATTTTCAAAGTGGGTGATGATGTTAGACAGGTAAGTATAGATTACTAGTCTTTGGTTTATTAATGTTATTATTGTTCCTTTGGGTTCCGAGTGGAACATAGGGCTTCAACAGAACGTCTCCACTCTGTTCTATTCTCTGTGATCCTGTTTGGTGGGCTCCACAATTACTCATTGTCTTTCATCTCTTCCTCTCATGATCTCCTCCATTTCACCCTCGGCTGCATGCCCAGCTCGTCGTTTCGCATTCTGGTTCTACACGAGTGATGCCCCGACGCATGATATCATCCGACAGTCTCCTCAGCGTGTGCCCAATCCATCTCCATTTTCTTCTCCATATATGTGTAGAGGGATCGGTTCTTGATTGGCTTGTTCCTAGAGTTTCTAG